AACCGCTGCGCCACCAGGGAGGCCCAGTTACTAATTTTTATCCCAGGGTACCTGGATCCAAGGAAGAAGACGTGGGGATTAAAATGGCCCCAGACTCTTTGACATCCCTCTCATTAAGAGGACAGATGTATTTTCTCCTCTAGCATCTGGATGGACTCTAACTGCTTTGACAGATAAAATACAAGACAAGTGATTCTGTGCCAGTTTCCAGGTCAAAGTCCGGTAGAGCTAACTTAGCCAGTAAGTCAACATGTGTGCACTCCAGTCCACATATTTGTTTCTGTGGGTTCGGCCAATGCAGAGCAGTCCCGAATAATCTACCCTCACAGAATGTGCTGACAAAATTTTCTGAACCTGAAAAGCTGAGACCTGAAGGACCAAGCTTAACCAATCTACATATATGTAGAGTGAAAGAGTGCCTTTGGAGACAAAATGGACGGATCTTGAGGCAATTAAGGCAAGTGAAATAAGTCGGGAAATGAAGATAGATACTGGGTGGTTTCATTCATTTGTGGAATATAAATAACCAAAGAACAACATGGGCAAAGCACAGCAAACATAATTCTTAGACTATGAAAAATATACTGGCTATCTGAAGGAATAAGGGGGAGGGAGGAGGAGATCGGGGAAGGAAATGGGTAGAACAATGGCACGGGAGCTTTGGTGGAGGGTAAGTGAAACATGTGCACATGTGAAGGTGTGAAAATACTCCTAAAGTTATAGATATATGTAAATGATAAATTACTAAAAATTAAATAAATTTAATGTGTTCTCATTTCATATTTCCAGCCCTCTCAACATTGTGTTATATATATGGACAAGCATGATATTCACATGTCCCAATTTGCACCCCACCCACTTATGTCCTACAATGCTTCCCTAAGCTGATTTTATTATTTTTATGTGTGATGTGCAGTTTTGTTTTGGTTTTTTTTAAAAAGATTTATTTATTTATTTATACAAGCACTGGGTACAGTCAGAGCACGGGAGGGTGAGAGAATTCACCAGAGCCAGAGCGGGAAGCAGAACAGGCAGACTGACGAAATACACTGCTGAGGGGAGGAGCGGGCGTGGCAGGAGAGATCTGTATTGCCATGTGGGACCCTCACGGGGGCTGGGGATGGAACCAGCACTGCAGAGGCTGCGGGCAGCTTTGCAGCCCAGCGCTCAACCGCTGCACCACCAGGGGAGGCCCGTGATGTGCAGTTTTTGACAACTGATCTACTCTTTTCCCTGTGGTGTAATAGCTATCTACTTTAGGTAAGAGGAATTGGGAAGGGGGGGGCCTCCCTGGTGGCACAAGGGGTGAAGCTATCCACAGCCTCTGCAGCATGAGTTCGATCTCCAGCAAGCCAGGGAGCTACCCACATGGTGCAGCAGACCTCTCCTGTTTCCCCCACTGCTCCCCTCAGCAGTGTATTTCAGTCAGTCTGCCTGTTCTGTTTCCCATTCTGTCTCTAGTGAATCCTCTTACTCCCCTGCACCTCTGGCCTGCACCCCAGCTCTTGTATGCATTAATAAATAAATCTTTTTTTTTTAAAAAAAGAGGAATTGGGAGGGGAGGGAGAGTAATCAAAACAGGGGAGGAGGAGCACAGGTAGCCATGATGACGGCTCACAGGTGATATGGTGGTGGAGACTTACAGGGGCTATACCTGAGGGGAGAAATCAAATAATGCACAAAAGTGAACAGCAATGTTAAAAAATTTTAAAGTTCAATAAAAAAGAAAAGAGGGACCCCAAACCCAGTTTTAGGGGTGAGCTACATGGGTCTAAGCTGATTAGAGTATGCCTATCCTCTCAGCCATTATGATGGGTTCAAGGGCCGGAATTGAGCAGACCAGTCAACCAACTTCTGCAAGACAAGAGAAGTGTCAAGCCAAGAGAATTGCAGAAAAACACCGCTATAGCTTTGATAATGTCATGAATCTCTAGGGCAAACTATACCTGAAGGGCACCCAATGATAAGACTTTTCAGTTAAATGAACCAATGAAAATGCTTTATAGTTAAGTCAGTGTGAGTGAAAACCAAAGGAATTTGAACTGAGACAAAGTGGTCACTAAAATACATGTTCTCCCTCACTGAGGATATTGCTCGTTCTTCATCAACTCACATCTGCCACACATAGTAAGAAAGACTAAAAGATTTTCCAGGAGGACCACCCAGGTGCCTGTGATTCCAGATCTTTGGGATACAGGAACTGGCACCAGGGACTTTCCTAAATGTTCACCTGACCTTCCTTTAAAAGACCACACATTCCTAGCTTTTATTTGTTTCCTCCACTCCCTCCTCAGCTTGTCTAGAATTTCCTTGGTAGTTACTGCTCCAGAGGTAATCCTGAGCAAAACCTCCCAGTAAACTCACCCTGAGAAACAAGTCCTCCTGGGAATTAACTCCCTTCTGCCCAGCCTTGGGGTCTTCACTGGATGGCTTATATTTTGAGAGAAGAAATCAAGCAGGGGATGATTATTGGTCTCTGCTTACTTGGCAACTTTGTTTTTTGGAGTTGAACCCACAGACGAAAATTTTTTAAACATCTCTGAGTACTTGTGGCCTGTTCAACAAGTCTCAGAAAAAAGAACCTAACAGGGAGGGGCCAAAGGAGACAGCAGCAGCCAGGACAGAAGATGCAGGTACATAGAAACTGGCCAATCTGGACTTCAGAACTTTCAGAGTCATTTTCTCCCTTGTCCTCAACTCCCAATCCAGCATTCTCTGGAGGGTGGCTCAGAAACTGCCATACCTGAGCCTTCTTCACCTGAGACCCTCTCCACTGCTCTGCCCATCTTACTTACAAAACCTGATGGCCCCTGTGGGGCATTCTCACACCATGCCTGCCCAAGAGCCCACTGTGGCTCCTCAGAGCAACCAACACCCTTCATCTGGCCTTAGCAGGCCCTCTTCACCTCCCCGGTGGCGCAGCAGGTTGAGCGCAGCGCTGTGAAGCTGTCCACAGCCTCTGCAGCTTGGGTTCAATTCCCAGCTGGCCAGGGAGACACCCACATGGGGAGGCAGACCTCTCCTGTCTCGCCCTCTGCTCCACTCAGCAGTGTTTTCAGCCATCATCCTGTTCTGTTACCTGCTCTAGTCTCTAATGAATTTTCTCACCCTCCCACACCTCTGGCCTGTGCCCAAGTTCTTGTATAAATAAATAAATCTTTAAAAAAAAAAAAAAAGGCGCCTCCCTGGTGGCACAAGGGGTTAAGCACTGCACTATGAAGCAATCCACAGCCTCTGCAGCACGAGTTCCATCCCTGGCCAGCCAGAGAGAAACCCACATGGCACAGCAGACCTCTCCTGACTCGCCTACTGCTCCCCTCAGCAGTGTATTTCAGTCAGTCTGCCTGTTCTGTTTCCCACTCTGTATCTGGCGAATCCTCTCACCCCCTACATCTCTGGCCTGTACCCCAGCTCTTGTATGCATAAATAAATAAATCTTTAAAAAAAAAAAAAAAAAGAGGCCCTCTTCAGAGGCCTGTCCTATGCCCAGTTTCCACAGTTCTTCCTCATTTTTCACCACTGCCCAAAACAACCACATGGTAACCAGTCTGTCTCCGAGCCTAACCTAACTATACCACTCAGGCTTTGACCACCACCCACTGCCTGGAAGATTACACATAATCAGAGGCCCCGCTTTTCTCCCAACCCTTGACTGGCTTCTCCAGTTCTCTTACTGAAATTCTCTTTATTGGTTTTTTTTTTTGCAAACACTGACTATTAATTATGCTTATATTCTTTTCCAATTTTCCCATTGTCCTTTTTAAAAATGTTCTGACTCTAATAAAATTTGACATTGAAAGGACATCGCCAAACTTTTTTCAAAAAGAAAATAAGTATTCTGTAGCACAATAGTTTCAACTATAATGTATGTCTCAAATACATATAATAATGTATGTCACAATACATGTGAATTTACGTTCATAAGAAATCATATGAAATAATTCTTTCATTTACCAATAAATATTAACTAAGAGTTTCCTATATTATTTGCTTTTGTTGTGAAAATACTTGCATTTTGCCTTCATCTGGAAGGATAGTTTTGCTGGGTGTAGAATTATTTCATTCCACTGTTGTCCCATTATGGTTTCCTTTGAGAAGTCAGCTCAAAATCTTATTGTTGTTGCCCTGAAGATAATGGGTGTTTTTTCCTGCTACTTATTGACTTGTTTGTTCCTTGTGCCCTCATCATCCCCAAAGGAGCATACAAGCCACAGGAGGATGTGGGCCTCATCTCACTGAATCTCAGGACTTGGAAAAATGCCTGGGCAGAGCAATACATTAATGTATGTTAGTAGTTATTAGGAAGACTGATCCCATATAAAAATCTTTGGTTCACTTCCTAAATTCTCTCCATAGTATCCGACATTGGGTTTTCCAGTCTCTGTAGGATGATAGTGGGCAATTCCTTCACCTCTGCCTCACCTCCGTGTTTCACTGGATAAACCCTTCTTAATGGGACATTGGTTTCTTAATAACAAAAATAAACCTTTTCCTTAATATCTGTGATTTTGTTTTCACCTCCTGAGAAGTGATAACTTATAGTCAACTGCAGGAAAATTTATTTTTCAAATTGCCAAGAAGCTTCTATAATCTTCCTGAAGTGTCTTCCAAAAGAAGTCTGTGGTAGCCAACAGCATCACAGGATTGTAACGCTACGTAACATCTGGTAATTCATACATTTGCAGCTGCCTTTCTGCTACCAAGACAGTTCCCTCTCTCTCAACCTCTAAGTTAAATCTGCAGTCCCAAGCGATCTCCTGCCTGGCGCCTCCTGATTCATATCACTCATTAGCCTGATTATTTCTGTTCAAAATGTTCTGGTTCCTCTTTGCACAGAACCTTTACAGATTTCCAGTTCATGACCACAACCCCAGTAGGTCGGGAGTTCAGTTCCAGAGTCCTCCATTTTTCGTCCAAAGTGTCTCCATCCCCATGTCCCGCTCCTGTCCCGGCTCTCGCCCCAATTCCAGAGTTCCTGCCCCCTCTCACCCCCTTCTTACCTGGAGCTTGTGCAGTTGCAAAGCATAGCCTTTCATGAACAACTCGAAAAGAAAACGCAGATGCCCTGGCCCGGAAAGCTCCTCCGCGCTCCGCAGTCTCGGGGTGCCAGGCCCGGCTCCAGAAGCCTCGGCTGCCGGGAGGGCGGCGGGCATCGCGGCCTTGGCTCTGGCCCCGGGCGGGCAGAGGCCGGAGCGGGCCGCCCGCATCCCCAGCAGCGCCCACCGAGGCCTCGCGCCGAGCAGGGAGACCATGGTTAGCGCCGGCCGCCGCGCCCAGCCCCGGAGTCCGAGAGGCCGCGCCGCCCCCGGGACAGGTCGCGGGGGGTGTGGGGGGCGGACTCAAGGGCGACGGTCAGGGCCGCGCGGGCGGAGGCGGGCCGGGTCCTCGCCGCGACTTTCTCCTCGGCCCTCAGTCCCCGCGGCAGGCCCTGGCTGGACACAGACGCCGCCTTCTCCGCCTGCGGGGTCCCGGCCCCAGGCGCAGACCAGCAAGCTCGGGACGCGGCTGAGGGGGACCCTGGCCTCGGCCGCCTCTGCCCGACGCCCGCTTCGCGCTGGCGAGACTCGCCGCGGGCTTGCAGCTCGCGGGGCTCGGCTCTGCGCCCGGGCGCAGCGAAGTTTGGAGAAGTTTTCGGTCAGGCTTCCCAGGCGGGGGACCCCACCCAGCGCGCGTGGCCGCGGGTCGGGCCAGCAGAGTCACCCCCGCAGCGCCCTCGTCCCACAGGCTCCCGCTTCGCCGAGGGGCCTGGACGCCGCGGGGATGTGCAGACTCGGGGCTGGCTTCTCCCTCAGCACCCCGGACTCATTGGGGGACTCTGAGCCCCGCCCAAGGGGGGCTGAAAAACTAGGCCCAGCATCCAAAGTCCTCTGATACCTGGAGGAGAAAAGGCAAAGTCAGTATTTGATTTTTAATTGCAATTCTTTCCGTCCTCTGCACACTCCCAAGTCCGGTAAGGCAGGATTTTTCAGACTGCAGGTTGTTCTTAGGAAAAGTTGAGCTCAGTATTAAGCGAACCCTCTCGCACCCACCAGGTTCGTTTTCTTGATATTTTGTATCTTTTTAACCTCTTAAAAAATGGACTGCTTGATGACATTTTCTTACTCCCTAATAAATGTACTTAATGCTACACATTTTTATGTTATCCCACTTGGCTCTGTTCCACAAGATTCACGGCAGTTTCTCTCATCAGTCATTCCCAAAGAGTGATTAGTTTCTAATTTCCATTTTGATTTCCTTGTTAATGGAGGAGTCACATAAGAAGGTGCTTTTAGTTACATGTAAATAGTTTTGTTTGGAAAGGGACCATTCTTTTGTTATTAATTGATAGTTTTAATTAATTATAGTCAGGGTGTATATGTTTTGCTTTTTTTAGAATTATTGAAATGTGTTTTGATGGTCTAGTCCTTGTGTTCTTCCTGAATATTCCATATGTACTTTTGAAATGCAAATGTTCTGTTTATTACCTTACGTTATTTAAATCTTCTACAGTCAAACTTATTTTTGTCTACTAATTTATTAGCCTCTGAGAGAGGTATGTTCTAGTGTGCCCCAAATAGTATGGACTTGTGAATTTGTTTAAATGTGTTGTATGCCCAGCAACCTTTGCTTTATATTTTGCAGTTTTTATTTTACAAACATTTTGTATATTAATAAAGTTGGTACAATGTCCATTGAAAACCCATGACCCCAGCCCAAAAGTACTAATGAAATTAAAAAGAGGAGTGGTCTGTTGTATACACTTTGGCATGAATAACTTTAATTGCTAATAAATATTAGAACTTTTCTGGGATTTCCTTTTCTTTAATCTTAAAATGCTTTCTTTCAGGGAAGCCATCTCTGGAGTCAGTCTCTATGAGTCAGTCACCTCACTACATCCTTGTAAATAAACCTTTTATTAACCTTTTGTGTGTGCCTGTAGTGGAGTATTAATAAGTCCCTTTTAAACGCGCGGTGAAAACCCATAGCCAAAAACCCGTTCAGTATCGGGGCTGCTCTATAACAATGTCATCCCCAACTTGGTATTCCTCTGCTTTTGGTCTAGACCCTCAGATTTTGAAAATAGCTGTGGGTTAAGGGAAGGTCATTTTTTTCACAGTTCCGATCTCTGAAAAACTGCCATCTCCCACTGAAAGTCATAGTCCATAGTGAAGCAATCACCTGCTAGAACTTTGGGGAAAGTGGAAAGTCATTACGAGCATCAGCATGGGTCAATCTTATTTATCAAAAACCTGAAAATGCAGAGTCCTAGAGACTCTCTGTACACACATGTAATGTTTTGTAACAAGAGAGCACTATGAAGCGGGCTGAGGTCTGATCATCAAAAATCAGCACAGTGAAAAGAAGTGATAATGAATAATAGGCACTGAGATTCAAATTACCAAATGTTTTAGAGAGTGGGATGCCAGTTTTCAATTCTGGTTTGAATGCCACATTCCTAAAGAACTCTTTTTAAGAATAAAAAGGAATTGAAGGAAAAGGAAAAAATTCTAAACTACTGAATGACCCCCTGCTTATTCCTGATAAACTTCAATCACATCTTCTTCCTCTATTCCCAGTAGTTTTGGAATTGGTTATCAGCAACTCTCTGACCTTCAAAGAGAGCACCAAAGTGAATTCATTGTAACTCCCTGTCGTTGACAGTAGGGTTATTTGAGTTTCTTGAGAAGTGTGCTCATTTCCACTTTGAAGTGAATCTCATTAGTGTCCTATCTGATGACTTTGAGTTTAATGTATTCTCCTTCTTATGCTCCAAGTCCTCAGTTAAAGGTTTGCCTTCCAGTGGGACATACTAATGGTGGCTTTCTCCAGGGTCTTTGCACAGCAGTAGAGCAGTATCTCTCCCCAGGTTTTATTCTATATTTTGAAGATCTATGTTAAGCTCATAAAAGTTTCATGATTATTATATTCCTGATGGATGACACCCTATGTAAATTTGAAATATTAAATTGCTTTGGATTTCATTTGTTTGATTTTAATATTGTTACTCCTACTGTGTTTTTTATGCATGTTTGATATATCTTTATTCATTCCTTAATTTTCAACAAGTTACTTTGATGTATCTCTCATAAATACCATGTAGCTGGATTTTTTTTTATCCAATAGGAGAATTTTATCCAGCAATAGAAAAATTATTTTTATAATTTGAGTGAGTTTAAAAATAAACTATAATATAATTCATGAATAATTCATAAAGGAGGAATTATATAAGGCTCTTAAACATATAAAAATGTCCAACTTTACTTAAAAGACAAATGAAAACAGCATAAGAAACTATCATAGATAAGACTGGCAAAAATCAAAAGTTTAATGCTACTTTATACTGAAAATGTAGAGAACAGACTCAATCCTGGTTCTAGGAGTACAAATTGTTATAAAGCTTTCAAAATTTAAAATGTACTTGCCTTTTGGGCCTCCCCTGGTGGTGCAGCAGTTGAGGGCTGGGTTGCGAAGCTGCCCACAGCTTCTGCAGTGCCAGGTTGGTTCCCTGGCCACCGGCGAGGGTCCCACATGGCGCACAGACATCTCCTGCCACGCCCGCTGCTCCCCTCAGCAGTGTATTTTGTCAGTCTGCCTGTTCTGTTCCCCGCTCTGGCTCTGGTGAATTCTCTTGCCCTGCGCTTCTGACTGTACCCAGTGCTTGTATAAATAAATAAATAAATAAATAAATAAATAAATAAATAAATAAATATGGGCCTCCCCGTTGGCGCAGCGGTTGAGCGCTGGGTTGAGAAGCTGCCCGCAGCCTCTGCAGCGCCGGTTCAATCCCCAGCTGCTCCCCGGCCACCAGAGGAGGGTCCCACATGGCGCGCAGACCTCTCCTGCCTCCGGCTGTCGGTCCTTCTGCCTGCTCTGCTCCCTGCTCTGGCTCTGGTGAATTCTCTCACCCTCCCGCGCTTCTGACTGTACCCAGTGCTTGTATGTATAAATCAATCAATCAATTAAAAAAAAAAAAACCACTTTAAAAAAATAAATAAATAAATCTTTAAAAAAAAACTTGCCTTTTGAACCAGTAATACTAGTTCTAGGGGGGATTTATTCTATAAATAGACTTATACATTTGCAAAATCACAAATATACAAGGATATTTATTGCATCACTGTACAAATAAAGGAAATAAGGGAAACAAATTAAATGGCCATCAGTAGGGGACAAATGAGATAATTATGGTTAAAACCATGTGTTTAAATCATTTACTTTAAAAACAATGACATAGGTCTATATGGAGTAATATACAACAATTTTCCAGATGCATTTTTTTAATTAAAAAAAAAAGCAAGATGCAGAACAGTGTTATAACTACCATATAATTATGCCAGTACTTGCTCATGCATAGAATTACACATGTATTCGCTCTGGACAGATAAGTAAGAAACTTGTAATAAAACAAAAGTTGCAGGGGCAAATTTCATAGCACTTACTTTTAAACTCGAGTTATATAATATGCATATGTAATATTTACTTTTTTTCAAATGGCTTATTCAAAAGTCACATCTCAAGGGCATTTTCTTTCGACTTTTCTGAAAACTCATTACACAAAGTGATGTCTGATTGTCCATTAACTTGTTCGCTTGCCAAGCCTCTTGAAAGTAGAGAATGTTTGCATGGATTTCAAAGGAATACAATTGCACAGCAAAACAGCCCCAAGGAAAAATCACCCATAATTCCACCACTTGAAAAATGTATATGAAACAACAAAATGCAAGACCCTGCTCTGCTTCCCCAAAGCATTCCCTCAAAATGAAGCATCATTTATAGTTTAGTGCATATTCTACCAGACCTTGTTTTGCATTGCTAGAAACATTTTTTTAACTTCAGATGAAAAATCAAGCTGCTAGTTTAATGTGAATTCCTTAAATCGTATAAAGACTCAGTGTTTTTTAAAGATTTATTTATTTATGCATACAAGAGCTGGGGTACAGGCCAGAGTTTTGGGGGGTGAGAGGATTCACCAGAGACAGATTTGGGGAACAGAACAGGCAGATAGGCTGAAATACACTGCTGAGGGGAGCAGCGGGCAAGTCAGGAGAGGTCTGCTGTGCCGTGTGGGTCACCTCCCTGGCTGGGGATCGAACTTGTGATGTAGTGGCTGTGGTGAGCTTCATAGGTTGCATCTTAACCCCTTGTGCCACCAGGGATAATATGTGAATAATATGTACCAGCTTTAAAGGGCTATTGTAAGAATGAAAGATAAGTTCAGCACTTAACACATGTTCATTACCATGCAACAGAATGTCTTGTTCAATCTTATAACCAGTGCTTTGTTTACTTCTTTTAACAAATGAATAACAAGTATTGCATCAGTAGGCCTGGGGTAGGGTCTGCATTTTCTAACAAGGTCCCAGGTAATGACTAGGTGTCTGCTCCATCTATCCTATCTTGAGCGGTGGGATTTAGAGATTCACAGACACTGGGAGGAAACACTTGTAGCTGATCGCTCTGGGTATTTTCATGCTAGGAGCACCTGGAAATTCTGGGGACATCAGGAAGTTCAAAGTTTATGCTTTACTCAGAGAGAACCACTTATAGAGGACAGAGAAACTAGAAAAGTTTGACAGAAATATGGGGATCCTCCAACACACAATCCCTTCAGGACATTTGCCAAATTCTGGGGTTGTGAGTGAGAGGCTTAAAAATTTAAGGAGAAAAGCTTCCCAAAAGCAGTTACTTTTAGCAGTCTTGCAATATATGTAAAATTAATGTATGTCAATAATGAAGAGGTTCTGCTCACCCAATTTAGTGTATGTGTGTGCACGCACACACACAGTAAGGGATAGATTTCCACACCACTAAGCAATATTCTGATACCCTGCCCTGTAAGGTATCCTATAATTCAGTTCCGACACTATCCCCCTGGAAATACCAGTAGATTCCACAGGTTGGGGGCTCAATCTCACAGACTGCTACCCTCCACTTCAGAAGCCAATTGCAAGCCCTGGTTGTCACCTATACTTCTGACCAACTGGCTATAAATCAGATCTTCCCTCAACCCCCTTCAATTCATTTGCCATTTTCCAAACTCAGGAAAACCATTCACTCACTATGTTGCCAGTTTATTACAAAGTATATTAAAAATCAACAGCAGATAGTGAGGTCCAAAACAGGAGGCTCTGATCCTGTGGAGTTTGGGCCTGGCATTGTGGCCCATGGAAGTGTTCTGGTTCTCCAATTTGGAAGCTCTGCAAAACTCCTTTTGGGTTTTAAGGCGGCTTCATTACACAGTGGTTGATTTAGTCATTGGCCATTAATGACTTGACTCCATTTCCAGCCTTTCGCATTCCTAGAAATCAGGCAGTAGTCCCCATCCTTAGGTGCTTTCCAAAATTACCTCATTGACATAACCCAGTTGTGACAAAAGACACTTGTGTTGAGTAGCAAAACACCCATTTCACCTTTGTGACTCTGAGTTTTCAGAAACTCAGTTAAAAGAGATCAAATAAAACAAAAGATGTTCTTATTACTTTTATTGATCTGGAAATACCATAGGTTTTGGGAGCTGTGAGCCAGGAATCATTGACAAAGACCAAATATATATGAGAAATGGATTTTGTTCCTCTAAATGACCATATATATTTTCAATAATAATGCAAAAGGAAAAAGGGGGTAAATGAAACTAAAGTGTTTTAACATTCTAGCTGCTACGTAGTAAAACCAATCACTTTTATTAGACTTTTGTTATAACTGCTTAACAAACTGTCCAAATACTTAGCAATTTAAAACAATCATTTTATCACACATACAGATTCTGTGTGTTAGGAATATGGGGTGAACACAGTGGGAATGATTTACTGTGTTCTATTATATCTGAGACCTCAGGAAGACTCACAGGCTGAGGGCTGAAAGAATATGGAAGGGCCTGATGAATCGGAGACAAGGATTGCTCTCCAGAGTGTCTTACATGACTCTCCACTGGCTTGGCTTCCTCACAGCTCACTAAAGTCAGGGCAGTAGGACTTACACATGGCAGCTCAGGGCTCCAAGCATGAACTTTGCAACTAATAAGGCAGAGGCTGCCCAAACTTTTGTAACCCAGCTTTGGTCAGAGCAGTCACATGTTTTCCAAGATTCTACCAGACTTCACTAAAGTTGGCAAAGTCAGTTGTTGAATTGCATTTGTGCTGAAACAAATAGTTGCAACCACCTTATAAAGTAACCGTCTTCCACATTAGCCATCAAGAAGTGCAATGTGAAACCACAATGAAATAATGTCAGCTTTTACTAAAACAAAATCACAAAGGCAATGAGTAAAATTAGAAACCCTAAATTACAAATATCCAAGCATTGTTCTACCTCAACTGGAACCTTCTGGTAAAAGTGTTAGCTGCTCTAAGAACTATGGAAATCTAGACATATTTATGAAAACTGGACTGTGCCTCCCTTTGGTTGACAACTAGCAGAGGTTTTGATTTGGCCATGTATTATTTCATCATTTTTAGTGAAGGAAAACTTGTCAGAAACACTAAATGAAGAAAATGTTAAAAATCATTTATAAATTATTATTTTATGATCTGTTCGGGTATCCTTGATCACATGATTACTTCACTGTCACATTTGTCCATATCCTTGTATTCTTCCTTTTTTGGTTTCATATCCCATCCTTCCTTCATCTCACACCTTCTCCTTGATTGCTAAAGTCAGCAGCTGCTACGAAGTACTAGAAAATGGAGTGGTTCGTACATTCATTAACTCATTCAATAACCTTGCACAGGTCATGTAATGTTTTGAATGTCATGTTACTAATCTAAAGAGTAAAGATAAATAATGTCAATAGTAAAGGAATTTTTGGTGTGTTATATATACACACGTGTCTACATAAAGAACTATGCCTGGGGCCTCCCCAGTGGCGCAGCGGTTGAGCGCTGGGTTGCGAAGCTGCCTGCAGCCTCTGCAGCGCCGGTTCAATCCCCGGCTGCTCCCCGGCCACTGGAGGAGGGTCCCACATGGCGCAGACCTCTCCTGCCGCCCGCTGCTCCCCTCAGCAGTGTACTTCGGTCCTTCTGCCTGCTCTGCTCCCCGCTCTGGCTCTGGTGAATTCTCTCACCCTCCCGCGCTTCTGACTGTACCCAGTGCATGTATAATCGAAACAAACAAACAAACAAATAAATAAATAGAAAGCATGCCTCTATAAAAAAAAAAAAATTAAAAAAAAAAAAAAGAACTATGCCTGGATCATAATAGAAACTCAAAAATGGTAACTTCAATTTTTTTTTGTTCAAGTGACCGTTGTAGGGAGACACTTTCACACATATTAATAAAATGTATAGAATATTTTCTAGTGACTATTGACTTTTCTTCTGAAATATGTAAGATTCTCAATGTGAAAACAGGCAAAGGGTAAGCCAGATCCAGAAGACCACATATTTTATGATTCCATTTATGTCATCTATCCAGAACAGGTAAGTACACAGAAACGGAAAACCGAGTGGGCTGGGAGTAGGGAGACAGGAGTTTCCCTTTCGATTGATGAAAATGTTTTCAGAAAGAGGTGATGTGGTTGCACCCATCATGAATGTACTGCCACTGAAACATTCATTTTAACCTGGTTAGTTTTATGTCAGTTTTACTTCAGTTTCTAAAAAGAAAATGTTATCTTTTGAAATCTTGCCATTTGTGATATGTGGATAGAACTGGTGGGGATTATGTCAAGCAAAATAAATCGAGGAAGACAAGTAAGGACTGATCTCACTTACATGGAATATAAAGAAACAAAACAAAGAACAGACAAAACTAAGCAAAACAAACCCTAAAAATCTGACTCAGAATTGAGGCTACTAGAGTGGGAGGGAGTGGGGTGCAAAAAGGGCAGGAGACCCAAGGGACAATAGTGGAGGATTATTGGTACTTTGGTGGTGTGGACCACACATCCGAAGAGGTGTGAACAGTACCCCTATTGTCATCAAGCGTCATAAACCAATGTTATCCCAATAAAAAAGATAAATTAAAAAGAAAATGCTAAAATGCTCAGCTTTTAAATGCACTCTGATATTTTAAGTAGTATTTCACCTATGTAAACAACCCCCAATCAAGAGCATTGCCACCACTCCAGAAACTTCCCTTTTCCCCCTTTTCTTGCTATACTATTTTTAAAAAAGATTTATTTTTATGCATATAAGACCTGGGGTACAGGCCAGAGGTGCAGGGGGTGAGAGGATTCACCAGAGACAGATTAGGGAGCAGAACAGGCAGATGTACTGAAATACACTGCTGAGGGGAGCAGCGGGCTAGGCGGGAGAGGTCTGTTTCGCCACGTGGGTTTCTCTCTGGCCGGTCGGGGATCGAACTCGTGCTAGAGGCTGTGTCGGGGATCGAATGTGTGCTGCAGAGGCTGCGTTTTGCTTGATAGTGTGGTGCTCAACCCCTTGTGCCACCAGGGATGCCCCCTCTCATCCTTTTTTAAAAGTCAGCTGTAGCTGCTTACATGCAACTCACCCCTATTAGGGGTAAATTTGATGAGTTGCTGTACCTACCCTACAGCCAAGGTAAATTTACAGTGTGTCCCTGCACAGTCAGTCCCTGGCAAGCCCTCATAAGCTTTCTGCCCGTACTTTTCTGCCTTTTCTAGAAGTTACGTAAGTGGAATCACAAAGAATACAGTGCTTTGCTTCTGGATTCTTTCCCTTAGCATAATGCTCTTGCCATTCATCTCCATTGTGGTATGTATCCGTTTACTCCTTTTTTATACCTAAGTAGTATTGAATAGCTAAACCACAATTTACTTCATTCACTTGTTGCTATTTGGGTTGTGCTGTTATTAATAAAGTTGCTGTCAACACGTGCCTGCCCGTGTGAACTGCCAGGTTGTATGTTAACAGCATGTTTTACTTTTAAGAAACTGCCAAGCTCTTTTCGAATGTACTATATTGCATTCCCACTAGCAACATAGGAACTACTTGCTCCACATTGACACTTTAAATTTTCGTCTCTATTTGAGCCATTTTAATTTTACTACAAACATGGTGACTCATAGCTTAGGTTTTTTTTTTTTTTTTCAGTGCCCCCCAACCCCGAAGTCGTGTTCAGGGCTTCAATAGATCACAGTAAGGGACCTACTCTGCTATGTAGCAAGCCCAATCCAGAAGCAGGTTATCTTTAAGAACAGTTTTTAAAAATATAACATACCACAGATATTAGACATGAGGTATTTTTGCTTTATTAGAGAATTTTATTTTTTTTCCTGTTTATTCTTATAACATTTAAAAATATCATTAAAGTTTTATCTTGGTTAAGCTTATCTCTAGATTATCTGAAATATTAAACAAATGAGTATAAAAAGGAATAGTGTAGTACCAGGTACCCCAAAAACATGCAAGGGGCAGCACCCTTTTCAGGTTTCTCTGGGTAAGAGGTTCCCTGCTCAGGCCCCAGTCCAATGTGCCCCTGTGCCACGTGGGGAGCACTTTATAGCCTGCCTTGATAGCACTTGACAGGGCAGAGACCAGAGAAACAAGGCTGAGTCAAGGTGCTCTACAGTTCAGCATTGATGGGATTCTAATTTAAAGGTTCAGCCATAATCCTAGATGGCAGAGGCTTAGCCCCACTGGCCCCTCAGCCAAGCAAATACACCGACTATGTCATTAGATTTTTAAATGCACCTCCCTGACTACTAGTGCTAAGGTCCCAGTCCTTCTAAGCTAATTATCTTGATTAAATCCTCATAGTTGGTATCCCATGCATAGACTCAAAGTGTACTTTTATCAGTTTTATAATAGCACTATACTACTGTAGGAGTATTGTAGTACTGTGGTTAACATGCTGTTATTATAGAAAATGTTTTGGTGGTGCTGATTTTAATTGTCCTAGAATCTGCACTATGTATTTCAGGCACTTTGGTGGGTGCTTTACTTGTATTTCCCCTCTCTTCGTCATTTAACCCTCGTAACCACCCTGAGGCAGACTTTGGTCTCCCACAATTCAGAAATCTTTTCAAAATTGTTTTTTCCCATGAGTTCTTAGCATTCCATGTGTCTCAGTCCATTATAATAATTAAGGCACAAGTGAGTTTTAGAAAACTGCCCTATTGTTCTTGTATTCTTTCACCTTTAAGAAATCTGCCAAGAGCATCCTAAGACTGCTTGCAGCTTTCATTGCCCCAAACTGATGAAAGGTCAAGTCAGATGAGTTTGTACAAACCCCTGGACAATGAGCGGACATACTCTGCCACAAGGGTTAAGCAGGATCAGGACCTTAAGCAGAATGCAATGGAGCCGCCTCAGTCACACAGCTCTGAAAACTCTGTTTCTAAGTCTCAAAACAGTTGGAGGGCTGATTTGAGCAGTAGACGAGAGCAGTAGACAAGGTCTTGGAGAACCAATTCAGAGGAACCCAGGAGGGCAGGTCCTCTGGCTGCTGTTGGTGGGGATCTTATTTGGGTAACTCAAGTGATGAGGAAAATGGGAGTTTTCTGGGATTATCAACCTTCATTGACTCAGTGTTGGATGGACCCAGAAGGCAGTCATTTTCTGGGAGGGACAACCACCCTAAATAAAATATTCTGAATCCCTAAGAATGTACCTGTGAAGGCAACTTCTCTAGATTGTTCCTTGGCCACAGCACCAGTTCAAGCTCTAAGCACTTTCTTCTGCACTTATCTCCTCCCTTTTTTAGTCACCATGTAATTACTGCCTCGCTCTCCTTTTTGTATCAAAGCTTCTCTTGGGATAGGACCGAATAAAATATCACTCAATTCACTTTTATCTAATGTTAATGTCCTTCCTTATTCAGGGAATTTGCATTCTGTGAAATATTTAACCAAAGGAAAATGTTCTCAGCAAAAACAGTGGAATGAATGATAGTGTTTCTGCATGCAGGTGTGTGCATTTATGTGTGTGTGAAGCCGGGAGTGTTCTGGACTTTTTCACCTCTAAAACATCTCAACAGCTGCTTCACTTCCCTTGTGGAAAGGGTTTAACATTTCTTACCTGCCTTTCCCTACCCCAGAAACAGGGCTTAGATAACAGAGAAAGGCATAACCATTCATTAAGGGCCCTTTATGTCCCTAAATGGTTTTATCATGTTTTAATTTTCACGAACCTGCAATGTACCTATTATATTCACATTAGTTTTTAAAAGACACCAAAAAAGTTAGATGACAGACCCAAGGTCACAGAGCAAAAGTAAGATACGAACCCCAGGTCAGCCTTCAGGCCCATGTTCTTGTCTTATCAGTATCATCCCTTCCCTCTAAATTACTTCACTCTAAATAATCTCTGAGCAAATTTGAAGTAAACATGCATAATGACTCCTTGCCCCCTAACCTAAGTCCTTATTCCACTCTTCCAAAAATACCCTGCAACCCTGTATTTCCTCAATTCAGGAGCACTCACTCCCATTCCAAACAGGAAATGGGTTAGAGTTCTTAACTTAGGAAGACAAATGACATGTTCTGGAAAGACTGACTCTACCTACTCCCAAATTTCAATTTCATACATTAGCCCCATTCCTTTCTCCCATCCAGCAAAACACCTAGATCTGTCAGATACTCGACTGTGGTAACAATGAAAAGTAATCATTATAAACTACTAAGGACATTATACTTTTATCACTGTCATAATTTCTTCAGTCCACCCCCAACTCCAATACCTTCATTCCCATGATGCTGCAATGGGGTACAGGAATGGAAATGGATTGATTGTGTAGTCTGGGGATTCTCAGAACGCAAAGAATCAGTAGTTTTAAGCTGAAGAAAGAAGGGAGAGACCAGAGTGAGCCTGTGAGCAGAGCTTCCTCCATATGTGCAGAAAGGAAAATGTGGGTATCAGAGATGGGTTATTTGGTTTCTTCTTGGGCCCTGATGCTAGAAAAATGAAATAAAGGGATTGAAGGGGCTAGGGAGGAGGCGAGTGGCAACTGGGAAGTGCTGCTTTCGGAAAGGGCATAGTTGAAGTGAAAACCATCTGATTCAAATTCCCCCACCATCTGATTCAAATTCCCCCACTGTGTGCTCTCCCTGGGCTCCACTTTGCCCCTGGAGTGAGGGGAAGTGGAGCTTCTGGTTCAGGTGCTTGTCCTTCGAGATCTCCATCGTACAGTTCGCTCAGTCAACATTTATTGAACACTCACTATTTACCAAGTCTTAGGGAGGGAGGTAGATACAGTTAAGAGTACTAGAGTGTAGTCAGTGGTCTCATTGAAGTGTATCCTAAAGTGGTGACTGCTCCTGAAATCCACCCCCAAGCCACCAGACCCAGCCTGCCCCAGCGACCTATGGGCCAGACCCTGCTAACCACACAGTGAAGGTGGTGAAGTTGAACCTAAGAATTCCTGTGTTGTGAGGAAACCTCAACTCCTTCCACCCTCCCCCAGCACTGTGTCCTGTTTTAGATAAACACAGACAATAGTAACTGGGATTATCTGGGCTCCTTCATTGAGGTGATGAGAAATCCACAAAGTTCATAGAACCTCTCGTCTCACAGAAAGTCAAGCGCTAAAGAGGTTAATAACATTCATGAGAGGAAAGTCTAGAATGTTGAACAAGTAGCGATACGAAGTCAGAATAGGAAGACCAAAGGTTGCTGGTGGATCTATGAAAGGAGAGGTGGTCTGGAGGTGGTAAAGCCCCAAGACAAGGATAATAGGAAACAGGTCATCATGTCAGTCTCTCCCTGCCTAGTTAATGGGGCAAGTTTGAAGATTTCTGAAAGTGGCTCCTCAGGTCGAGGAGTGGGGTAGGGGAAGTGAGACCTGAGGAAATGAGGACCTTCAGAGGAATCTCCTCAATTATAGAACAAAAGGACTTCTGGCCTAAATTCGTTCAGTATGTTTTCTCCTCTTGAGTTATAATTCAATCTCTGCATCCAAGCCCCAAACAAACCACACATGGCTCTCTGAAGGTAGAAACCAAACCCTGTTTTATAAGGCTGAGTGGCCATAATTGGCTTCTCTGCTGAGATATGCGGTGCCAGCCAGGCAGAAAGTGACAAGAGGGTAAACCTCCTTCACCTTCTCTTCATCCATACCACCCCTCCAAATACCCATCTTCTGCAATTCGACGACTTCAAAAAATATTCTGAGGACGGGCAAGGTGGAGGGGGTGGGGGTTCAGGCTGGCTGGCTGGCTGGCTGGCCAGTTCCTGTGAGGTAGCTAACACTGGTGCTCCTGGACAGGGGCTACTGGAGAGAGGCCAGTCATGGGCTCATAGCAGCCAGGAGTGAGTCACTCGTAGACTGGGAGGCTGGGGAAGGAGAGAGTCCTGAAGTCCGCCCAGAGTACTTGATCACAGGTAACACCTGGGCAGAGTGGCTGGGCTCTTTGCTGGTGTCCTCACCGTCGACTGAGGAACTGAGTTTCTTGGGGAGAGGGGACAGGCCAGCTTGGGTCTTCTTGGGCTTGGGAGAGTTCCCATCTTCAGAGAGTGGTACGCTTCCCTCGGAGGAGCTATGTTTTCTAAAGGGAACAGGTGGGGAAAGAAGTAACTGATATACTGTATAGCTGAGACTTTAACCTGTGATATGCCTTTAGTCTGGGCCAGACACAACATTACAGTGGTATATTCCATAAAACATATATATTTACTTATATAAATGTAAGCATACATCAACATTTATATTTATATATAAAAATTTATATAATAAAATTTTATATATTAAAAATTATATATATATAAATTTATATATAAAAATTTATATATAAAAACATTTATATTTATATTCATATTTATATATATTTATATATATCTCCATAAAATAGATTTTATGAATCTGAAGGCTTCAGTGCTGAAGTGCAAGTGTGAATGTGTGAGTGCTGGTGGGCTACAGATCCCTACAGCTAGCAAGTATGGCTGACAGTGGTGCTTCTGCAGATGATTCTGGGCTCTAGCTCATCTTCACTGAGCAAACCAAGAGCCACCAGGAAGTGGACATTTTGGCTGCATATTCTGATATTCTCACAATTCCCCAGTGGGAAAATGTTGATCTCATCATAATCTGGGAAGGAAGAAAACTCTGAACTCACACAAATACCTTTCCCTTTTGCAGGCAGCACTTACCCGGGCTTGCCAGTCTCTGATTTAGAGAAAGTATTGAACATCATGTCGCCCTTTGGGGTAGTGAGAAGTGATGTCGGGAGAGACCACTGAAAAGCAAAGAAGCCAATGAGGTCAAAAAGGCTAGGCAGAGGTAAGATGGAAGTGTTTGGGGCCAGGGAACTTTCCCAGCTCTACCGCTGAGTGATCTCAGAGCTCCCCCAGCTCTACCCTCAGCTATGGGGACCATGTAGAAAAAAGTCTTGGTTATCTATGGATTCAGACAAGAAGCTGAGGCTAAGAGCACTTTTTGATCCTTGAAAAAAAGGAAACCAGAGAATCCTGAGGCTATTATTCCTTTAAAAGGGAAGGGGGGAGGGCATAGTGGGGAAGTGACTGGGTCTAGACCTATATCCAACCCATTCTGTGCTTGTCAGGCATAGGACAGAGGGGCCTGAGATGGAGATGAGCCCACTCCCACCCCACACCAAGGCATCACTCACTACTGGAGCAGAATCAGAGATGGCTCCTGTGTGGAAACCTTTGTAGCACCAACTCCGAAGCAGATCTACTCCTAGGACAAGATTAGCAGGGATGTCATTAAAGAGAGTAAAATCAACACTGCCAATACCTCTTGCCAGAAAGGTCCATTGCACAGTCTCCTGAAATTTAATCTCTCACTGAATATGGCCTCTTGTGGGCAAGGAGAAGGCATCACCTTTTAGCTTGTTGCCATGGTACTTCTGTTCCCATTGGGTAGTGAGAATGTTGAAATATCGTGGCTGCTCAAAAAAGCGAAGATAACGAGAGGAGATACGAGAAGGAAAAATTCGTTCGAATTGACCACGGCGAGAAAACTCATCCTCCATCTCAACCAGAATCCGAACGTCATCTGGTGTCAGGACATCCAGCACGGATGCATAGAAGTCCTATGGCCAAAGGAACAGAGAGGATGAGGATGTGACACAGTGTAAGCTGGAGGCAGAGAACCACGCGGCTGGGGGACAAGGGGCACAGCTCTGGGGTCCCAGGGCTCTAAGACTGCAGGACCACCAAAGCAGCCTGGTGGGCCAGTTCCAGGTCTCACTATTCCCAAGTCTACTGAGCTTAGCTGAGAGAGGAAGATACCACTGGGCGCAGAGGTTAAGCAGTCTGTTGGAGGAGTCAAGATCATAATGTAGCAACTCATTTGGCAATAGTCTTGAGCTCGCTACTCTAACCAGACTCCCAGGAGCTTATACACCTTAGGGAGAGAAACCCAAAGGATCTACAACTCTAGCAAAAAGAATGAGCTGAGTACACCATTTTTTAAGAGCTGTGGCTCTTGAAAACATGGTGAAAGTCATCAATGCTCTCAGAGAACGATGTATGTGCCAACAAATCTCTGCACACCAAAGGGATCCCACACCTAGATAGGAAACCTTACTCTACAGAAAGGCAAACCTGGCTGCCTCAAGATCCCAAATGTTTGACCAGAGCAGCTTCTGCTGGATAGCAGGCAATCTCCTACCTGATCAGGAATTTTGGGGGTCAGATAGTAGGCTTTCTTCATCCTCTGTGCAGTGAAGTGCTCTGGGGCCATTCGACTTTTGTCCCTGGGGGAGCTGGGCAGGCTAAGGTAGGGGTAGAAAGGAAGCAAAGGGTAAAGTCTGCAGGTTTACATCCTGAGGACGTGTAGAGGTCGGTCCTTACCAGAGAAGAGAAGGAAGTATGGACAGCTGACTAGATCATACTACAGTGCACCCCACACAAGTAGCTTGTCTAAAAGTCAAAGATCAAGTACTGGAAGAACTAAGAGAGTACAAAATACCTCTTTAGATTACATCGAATGGGTAAAAAGACGACCCTGGAATAATCACTGTACAGTTTAGTTTAATTTAGTAAACACGTAACTAAATACCCAATCCAGTCCTATTGGCTGTGTGATCATGGGAAAGCTACTTGACCTCACTGCACTTCAGTTTCTTCAACCACATTACTATAATTACTAGTGAGAATGAAAGATGGCCTCCAAGTTGCTTATGGGATGGTCAATGTCAAATGATAAGTAACCACCATAGCACAGAGCCAAACATGTGTCTACAAGGTATGGTGGAGAAGACAAGTGCTGTTACCAGCAAATCAGGATTTGAATCGTACCTCTACTTTATCAGTTGAACAACCTTGATGGGTTACTTAATACCAGTGATTTTCAGTCTCCTCAGCTACAAATTTGAGGACACTAAAGTTGCTATAGAAGTGCCAAACAGGAGGGGAGCGGAGCAACATGGCGGCGAGGAGACGCTGCGAGTAAGATCTCCCATTAAAAAAAGTTAATAGGGAGGAAAAGCGGCAGGTCCCAGTGAGAACCGGGACACGGAAGATAAACGGACGACTCCAGCAAACTGCCCGAAGAAGAAAGTGGCCATAAAAGAGGACCAGAAGGGACGGAAGCGCAGAACCCTGCTCCCCTCCCCCGCCCACAGAGGCGGCACTCTCCGACCGGCAGAGAGGAGGAAAACAACAAACTAAAACTGCCAACAAGAACAAACGACGCAGCAAGCGGGACTGTGCGTGGAAAGGAACTATTGCAGCCACCACACCCTGTGAACGGGAGCTGTGGAGAACCCCCGCAGGATCCGCCGCGGAGGTGAGCTCCGGGCGCCATTGAAGAGAGCCCCGCCCAGGAGGAGACCAGCCCCAGCACACAGCCCCGGCCACCCGGTAAGCCTGCGCGGAAAGCGGCGCGCGGGAAAAACAGACGCGGAGCGGGATTGCGCGGGGAAAGCGGCGCGGATTGCGCGGATCGGATCGCAGCTGCCCAGGTCCCCGCGCCTGCGACCTAGGCTTGCGGGGAGACGACCTAGGCTTGCGGGGAGACGCGCGGAGGCCCTCCCGGAGTGAGCAGGAACCAGGCGCCCAGGCAGGGGAGCGGGATTCAAAAGGCGCCATTCCCGCGCCACTGATCTGGGCTACAGCCCGCGCGTCCTGGAACTGAGGGCTTTGGAACTGAGACCCGGGGCACGAAATTAGGGGCGTGGGTTCCCCACGACGGTGGGGCACAAGGCAGACACAGCACCCCAAAGCCGTTGAGGTGTACCCTACCATCCCTGCTCTGCTCCCTGTCCCACTGGGTGGAAAATCAGCTCCCCAAGGGCTCCAGGAGAGATCTCTGGCGCCACCTAGCGACTTGAAGCCAGCACAGGCTCCTGAAGCAGCTAGTGGCCAGCTGGGGAGTTAGCCCACGCCGGGCCCCTTCCGAACAAGTAGTCTGAGCCCACAGGGAGAGCGAGCACCCAAAGCCGGGGCAGACCAAGCGCGCAGAAGAGTGTGCCTGAGACCGGACGCGCAGGGAGTGTGTCCCACATCACCATTATAGAATAGGGACATTTCTTCAGTAAAGACTACCTGCAGAAGGCTTCCTCAGGAGCCAGAGGTGAGCAGGGGAAGTTCGCCCACGCCAGAACCCCTCTGGCCTGCAGTCCAAGCCCAGAGGGGGAGCAGGAACCCACCGCCGGGACAGACCAGGCGCACAGGGGAGTGTGTCCCCACATCGGCATTTTAGAACAGGGACCTTTCTCCAGTAAAGACTGCTTGAAACTGACAGATGACTCCTGGAGGAACCAGGGGGGAGCAGAGAAGCCCACCCAAGATGCCGGCCAGTCCCAACTACACAGTGTCCCAACGCATACGGCAAATTAGAAAACAGACAGTAGGGAGGAGAAGAACCACACGCAACCTAGCAACTCTCCAGAGAAAAAGCACACCACAAAAAGAAAACCAGCCCCCAGATGGCAACGACAGTAACTTGGAAGAACTTCTGAGCCTTCCAGAAAGAGAATTTAAAATTGCCGTGATTAAAAAACTGACAGAAGTCATAAAGGAAAACAATGATAAGGGAAAAATAATCAACGATCAGAAGAATGAAATTGAGTCCCTAAAGAGGGAAGTAAAAGAAATGCAGGAGATCAAAGAATTAATGGAAGAACTAAAGAATTCTGGGAAAAGCAATGAAAGCAGAATTGATGAAATGGAAGAACGAATAAGTACTCTTGAAGACACAGAAATAAAAAGAACCAAAACAGAAAAGGAAAGAGAAGTACGAAGGAAAAAGAATGAAGAAAGACTTCGGGAACTATCTGACTCCATGAGGAAAGGAAATATAAGAGTTATAGGAATACCAGAAGGAGAGGAGAGAGAAGTAGGAACAGAGAAAATATTCAAAGAGATAATTGAAGAGAACTTCCCAAATGTGAAGGAGGAGCTAAAAATTGATATACAAGAAGCAAGAAGAACACCAAACTTCCACGACGAAAGGAAAAATACAGCAAGACACATAATAGTAAAGCTCCCAAGAATTCAGGACAAGGAAAAAATAATGAAGCTGGCAAGAGGGAAGAAACAGATAACATTCCAAGGAAAGCCAATCAGGCTGACATCAGACTTCTCCGAAGAAACACTACGGGCAAGGAGAGAGTGGAGGGACATAGTCAACAGACTCCAAGAAAACAGATGCCAACCAAGAATACTCTATCCCGCAAAGCTCTCCTTCCTCTTTGAAGAAAGAATATGGACTTTCCCAGACAAACAGAAACTCCGGAATTTCATTGCAACTAAACCCCCACTCCAAAAAATACTACAAGGAGTCCTAAAGCCAGAACCTCAGAGGGACGAATAACAATGAAAGAAGGCCAAAAAAAAAAAAAAAAGTTATTAAAAGAATAAATAAATAAAATCAAAGGAAAGACAAACACAATGGCAAATACAGATGTTAACATATCAATATTAACTCTAAATGTAAATGGACTAAACTCTTCAATAAAAAGACACAGAGTTGCAGCCTGGATTAAGAAACAAAACCCAACCTTTTGCTGTCTCCAGGAAACACATTTAGCTACAAAAGATAAAAATAGGCTCAAAGTTAAAGGATGGAAAACAATCCTACAAGCAAATGGACCAAAAAAGAAAGCAGGAACAGCTATACTTATATCAGATAAAACAGACTTCAAACTCAAAAAGATAAAAAGAGACCCCAATGGTCACTACATTATGATCAAGGGGACAATACTTCAAGAAGAAATAACACTCATTAACATATACTCACCAAATGAAGGAGCACCAAAATATATCAGACAACTGTTGTCCTCTCTGAAAACAGACATCAGAGAAAACATACGTAGTGGGAGACTTCAACACACCACTATCAACAATGGATAGATCAACAAGACAAAAAATAAGTAAAGAAACCAAAGCTCTAAATAAGGACCTAGAGCAATTGGGCTTAACAGACATCTATAGAACACTAAACCCCCAAAAAACGGAGTACACATTTTTCTCAAGCGCACACGGATCATTCTCCAGGATCGATCACATACTGGGGCACAAGACAAACATCAACAGATACACCAAGATTGAAATCATATCAACCATCTTTTCTGACCATGAAGGCATCAAACTAGAAATAAACCATAAAAAGAAGGCAAGGAACTTTCCTACCTCATGGAGATTAAAAACCACACTACTGGAAGACCACTGGACTAATGAGGAGATGAAAGAAAAAATTAAAAAATTTTTTGAATTGAACGACAAGGAGGACACCAATATCCTAAATGTATGGGATGCAGCAAAAGCAGTAATAAGAGGAAAATATATAGCAATAGAAGCTCACATCAAGAAACAAGAAAGAACTCAAAGAAACAACCTAATCTCGAAGCTCAAAGATCTAGAAAAAGAACAACAAAAAAACCCCAAAACCAGTAGAAGAAAAGAAATAATAAAAACCAAGGCAGAAATAAATGAAATTGAAACTAAAAAAACAATCCAAAAGATCAATGAAACCAAGAGCTGGTTCTTTGAAAAAATCAATAAAATAGACAAACCCCTAGCCAGGCTCACAAAGGAAAAAAGGGAGAAAGCACAAATAAACAGGATCATCAATGAAAGAGGAGAAATCACAACGGACACAGCAGAAATCAAAAGAATAATCAGTAACTACTATGAACAGTTATATGGAAACAAGTTTAACAATCTAGAGGAGATGGACAAATTCCTACAACTCTACAATCACCCAAAGCTAGATAAAGAAGAAATAGAACACCTAAACAGACCAATTACAATTAGCGAAATTGAAATGGTAATCAAAAACCTCCCCAAAAACAAAAGCCCAGGACCTGATGGATTTACAAATGAATTCTACCAAACATTCAGAGACGAATTAGTGCCTATCCTTCACAAACTCTTCCAAAAAATTGAGAAGGAAGGGACAATACCAAACACGTTCTATGAAGCCAACATTACACTAATACCAAAACCGAACAAGGACAACACAAAAAAGGAAAACTACAGGCCAATCTCCCTAATGAACACTGATGCAAAAATCCTCAATAAAATTTTAGCCATCAGAATCCAACAATGTATCCATAAGATAATTCACCACGACCAAGTAGGATTCATTCCAGGGACACAAGGATGGTTTAACATCCGAAAATCAATCAACGTTATCCAACACATCAACAAAAAGAAATATAAAAACCATATGATAATATCAATAGATGCTGAGAAAGCTTTCGACAAAGTGCAACACCCATTCATGATAAAAGCCCTTGAAATTCTTGGGATACAAGGAACATACCTTAACATCATAAAGGCCATCTATGACAAGCCAACAGCCAGTATCATTCTCAATGGTGAAAAGCTGAAAGCAATTCCATTAAGATCTGGAACAAGACAAGGATGTCCACTCTCACCACTGCTTTTCAATATAATACTGGAAGTCCTAGCCAGGGCAATAAGACAAGAGAAAGACATCCAAGGAATCCAAATAGGAAAAGAAGAAGTCAAACTATCACTATTTGCAGACGATATGATATTATACATAGAGAACCCCAAAAACTCCACAGAAAAGCTAATTCAACTCATCAATCAGTTCAGTAAAGTGGCAGGATACAAAATCAACACGCAAAAGTCAGTAGCCTTCCTATACACAAACAATAAATCTGAAGAAGAAGAAATCAAAAAAACCATCCCTTTCGTTATTGAAACAAAAAAAATCAAATATTTGGGAATAAATCTAACAAAAGAGGTAAAGGACCTATACAAAGAAAACTATAAAATACTGTTAAAAGAAATAGAAGACACAAAGAAATGGAGAGATATCCCCTGCTCATGGATTGGAAGAATAAACATTATTAAAATGGCCATCCTTCCAAAAGCAATATACCGATTCAATGCTATTCCAATCAAAATTTCAATGTCATTCTTCAAAGAAATAGAACAATTATTGATGAAATTCATATGGAATCACAAAAAACCCCGAATAGCCAAAGCTCTCCTGAAAAAAAAGAAGGGAATGGAGGCATCACACTCCCAGACTTCAAACTATACTACAAAGCCATAATCATCAAAACTGCATGGTATTGGAACAAGAACAGACATACAGACCAATGGAATCGAATAGAAAATCCAGAAATAAACCCACAGATTTATGGTCAACTAATCTTTGACAAAGGAGCAAAGACTATGCATTGGAGCAAAGAAAGTTTGTTCAATAAATGGTGCTGGGAAAACTGGGTCGCTACATGCAAAAGAATGAAGCTTGACCACTACCTCACACCATACACAAAAATCAACTCAAAATGGATTAAAGAATTAGACATAAGACCTGAAACCATAAAATATATAGAAGGAAATATAGGCGAAACACTACGTGATTTGCACATCAAAGACATCTTTACAGACACATCACCCAAAGCAGTGATAGTGAAGGCGAAGATAAACAGCTGGGACTACATCAAATTAAAGAGCTTCTGCACAGCAAAAGAGACAATAACAAAAACAAAGAGAAACCCCACCAACTGGGAGAACATTTTTGCACCCAACACTAATGATAAAGGACTGATCACAAAAATCTGCAAAGAGCTGATGAGACTCAACAACAACAAAGAAAATAATCCAGTCAAAAAATGGGCAGAAGAGCTAAAAAGAAACTTCTCTGAAGAGGAAATGCAAATGGCCAACAGGCATATGAAAAAATGTTCAACATCACTTGTCATCAGGGAAATGCAAATCAAAACTACCATGAGATACCATCTTACACCAGTGAGAATGGCACATATTAAAAAAAATAGCAACAACAAATGTTGGCGAGGGTGTGGAGAAAAAGGAACTCTTCTGCACTGTTGGTGGGAGTGCAAACTGGTCCAACCACTGTGGAAAGCTGTGTGGAGATTTCTGGACCTACTAAACATAGAGCTTCCATATGATCCAGCAATTCCACTCCTAGGTATTTACCCAAAGGACACAGAAACATCAATTCCAAAGAACACCTGCACCCCTATGTTTATAGCAGCACTGTTTACAATAGCTAAGCTTTGGAAACAGCCCAAATGCCCAAAAATAGATGACTGGATCAAGAAGATGTGGTACATATATACCATGGAATATTACTCAGCATTCAAAAAAGATAAACACATGCAATTTGCAGCAACATGGATGGCGCTGGAAGGGATCATGCTCAGCGAAATAAGCCAAAAAGAAAAAGAAAAATACCGGATGGTCTCACTCATAGCAGGAATCTAGAAAACTTAAATAAGGGACCAGGAAAATGAATAACTATAAGAAAGTGAAAATCAAAATCAACAAAAAACTATGAACCAGAGACACTTTTAGGGGGCAGGGGCGGGAGGGGAGGGATTGGGGTCAGAATGGGGGCGCTGCAATTGTATGGGGAATATAACAATAAAATTTATTATCTAATAAAAAAAAAAAATAAAATAAAAAAAAAAAAAAGTGCCAAACAGGTATCACTCCCTTTCCTCAAGAGTGGTTCTGAGTGATAGGGGGTGTGGAGCAGAGAACCCACACTGCGTCGTGAAGATGCTGCCGTTAGCTAGGCTTTGATGGATGCATGAAGAGTACAACTGAGGTGCATTTCAGGAGGAAAAATTCCCATGAGAAGAAGGGGACCAGGACCATATCAGTCAACTGTGAGAGGCAAGGAATGTTTGAGAGAAAATCAAACTAATTGGTCCTCAATGATCATGCCAACCATGAGGTTCCTGAGAGTCTGTCAGAGCGTGGGAACAGGAAGAGAAGCAAAGGAAGGGATGTCTGGGAAAGGAAGGTGTGCAACTTAAAGCTGATTCCCCAGGTCCTGTAGAGACTCCCAAGCAGAGAAGCAGTACTACCAAACATGCTCTTGGGGGCACTGATGTGGTAGTGAAGCCCGGGTGGGCTGCATGTAGGACCACAGAGAGTAGCAGGAGAGAGCAAGCAGGCTGACCTGGTGGTGGAGCTGCTGGAGCTGCTAGTGCTGGAAGCAATATCATCTGCACTGGGCAGGACAAAACCCGCCAGGTTCAGAAGGTCACGGATCATCTGGCCTTTGATGCTGATGTCCAGTGGAGAGTTAGAGTGGAGACTATGGAGAAAAGATGCAGAGTTCAAAGCAGTACTCCACAACTGCTTCCGGTCGTAAGTCCAGGTCAGCACTAGCCCTATTTACTCCCTGGCTGCCCCAGGATGAAAGGGCTCAAACATGCAAACTCATGAGCACTATCCGAGGGGTCTTCTGGCTCCACAGACAATGAATGACCTCACTTAGGGTGGTACTTTCAGTTGCTAGGGAAAAGCATGCAGTCAGGATCAAGTTTAAAAGAACAACTTTTAGGGCCTCCCCGGTGGCACAAGGGGTTAAGCACCACACTATGAAGCAACCTGCAGCCTCTGCAGCACGAGTTCCATCCCCGGCCGACCAGGGAGAAACCCACATGGCGCAGCAGATCTCTCCTGACTCGCCCGCTGCTGCCCTCAGCAGTGTATTTCAGTCAGTCTACCTGTTCTGTTCCCTACTCTGTCTCTGGTGAATCCTCTCACCACCCCCACATCGCTGGCCTGTACCCCAGCTCTTGTATGCATAAATAAATAAACCTTAAAAAACAACAACTTTTAACAATCGCTCTCCATCCTCATAGAACCTTGAGATAATGGCAAAGAACAAATGCATGAGCAAACACACCATGAAGGGAAAACACAAATCCCAAAGTCAGCAAGACTAGAGCAGAAACAGACTATGAGGTTTTAGGTAACTTCTACTGTGGGTACCTAAGAAAACCATCTACCTTGGGGAAATGTTGACTTCCAGGACCCAAGGCTTGAGGTTCTCGTCCAGCATGATGTCAAAGCCAAAGAGTTCGTGGCAGTTGTAGGGTCGCCGCACATACATCTTCAGCAGGCTGATCACATAGGGTTCTGACCTGAGCACAAAGCGGAGGAAGTATTCAGCCCAGCTCCTCCAGAAGGACCCTGTCCAAAGTTGCCCTGCCAGGAAAATGGCCCAGAGATGGGAGAACGAAAACAATGCAGGAAAGTAGCTCTCAAGAGATGCTTCTAACGGGGGCCAGCAGTTCTATAGAAAAGCAGAATTTAACTCTATCTGCTCCTCCCCATTCTTGTTCTCAGAAACTGAAACACAGTATGATCTAAGTCCAGAGCACAGCAGTGTGGAGGCCCAGGAGAACAGAAAGGGTCAGTGGCAGCCCCACATCCAGGGTGGGAGTATGACTCACGAAATGATGGTTTTGACAACAACATCCTTTATCTTCTCCCAGATGACATCACTATTGACGCCCTTCTGGTTCAGGTAATTCCACAAAGCTTTCAATGCCCTGGAAGGGGGACAGAGAGAAGACCAGACTATGCGGGGTTATATTCTCAGAATGAGTGATGATGAACAAAAGAGAAAAAGGAATTACGAGGCCCAAAGGTATTTTCTTCATATTTCTTCTTTTGATATTTTGATTTCAGAAAGAGATGAATTTGAATGCTAGCAGACCAATTCTGAATCACCAAGTCTTTAATCTTATCATTTTATATTACTCCTCCACTCATCATCCCCATGAACCTCCCCAAACTCAAAACCCTGGGCATCTCTAGGCCTCGCCTGACAGGGACACTCCTGAGTACCATTTGTGGCCCTGGCAGGCAGTTTCATCTTCATTGGTCTGGTACTCCGTGTTCTTTTTATTGACACTGTAGTTGGTCAGGTGCATGAACTTATTACTAAGACTCTTCATGGAAGGGGAATACCTAGAACAGGGGGAAAAGGCAGAAGTAAGATGGTGAGAGAGCATATGGACAATGTTCCAAATGTTTTACTAAAACCTAAAGAGGTAAAATCCTAACAAGTAGACAGATCTCTTCAGGTGTGCAAGGACTTGAGAAGTATGTTCACTGGTAAGGTCACTTTCCAGAAATTCATCTTTTTCCTCCTAATGTCTCACAAAAAGACCCTCTCAGGATGGTTCAGTCAAGACTTCTACTGAATTCAGTGTACTAGAGAATCTCCTTATTTCTCATTCCCCATGTTATACTTTGTGATTTATGCTAAGAAATATACTAGTCTCTGCCCTCAATTCAGAACTCGTGAATGTCTAAGTATTGTAAATGTCTAAGTAAATGTCTTGTAAATGTCTAAGTATTGAGAAGTAGAAAGAGCACTGGGAACATCTCTTGTTCTAATTATTTGCTCTTTGACCACAATTTCTGACACAGGGTCCTTGAAATTTCCTAGGTGACAGCAGTGTCTTTTGTTCCAATGCAGCAACTCTGAGTGGGCTTCTGGAACACAGCTGGTCACTGGAAAGACCAAGCCATGAATAGAAGCTTAGAATTTTCAACCCCATGCCTCCAATCTCGTGAGACAGGAAAGGGGCTCAAAATGGAGTTAACGATCAAACATGTCTATGTGACGAAGTCTCCCACAAGTATGGGGTTTGGAGAACTTCCAGGTGGGTGAATATGTGGGAGTGGTGGAAGCAGCAAGCCGAAGAGGGCAGAGAAGTTCCCACATACCCTTGCACAATGAAACTCTTCCATCTGTGCATTCATCTGTAACCTTTATCATATCCTTTTATAACAAACCAGTAAGCTGTTTCCTTGAGTTCTGTGAGCTGCTCTGCAAATTAACTGAATCCAAGAAGGTAGTCATTGGAACATCAGATTCACAGCTCAGTGATCAGAAGCACAGGTGACAACAACTGGACTTGCAATTGTCATTTGAAGTGGGATGGGTGCAGTTCTGTGGGACTGAGCCCATAACCTGTGCGATCTTACTCTCTCTCAGGATAAACACTGTCAAAATGGAGTTAAATTGTAGGGCATCCTGCTGGTATTGTGGAGAAGTGCTTAGGCTGGTGGTGGAGGGAAGGAATCCCCACACATCTGATGAGCAGTATCATAAACTACTCTTGTGAAAATCAAGGAAGACAAGGTTTTCCCAAATATACCCCACTTTCTTTCCGGCTAACAAAACATTTATTATTTTTCTCTTCAGTGTCCTCCAGCTTCCCTCCCCCTTAAAAAAACAGACCCCCAAAACAGTCAGGGTGACACCTCACCACTACCACATACTTGCAACTGGCAAAGCGGACAAGTCCATCTGAAAAGAGGTAAATCCGCAGTGGGTCATAGGAGGTGACGTAAACATAGATTCGCAGATCAAATTTACTGCCACTGATGAGGTAGGGTTTGTGTAGGTACCTACACAGGGGAGAAGTCAGAGTCAGGCACCTGACAGATGAGCTGGGGTTCAGTGGGTAAATGAGGAATAAGCCAGCTAACAGTCTCCAGGACAGGCCTGAAAATAGTTATGTGAGGAAAGACTTTGTCGAGAAGGACAAAGGGCAGGAGAACACTGTAAAAAGGGAAGCTCCAGGATGAGGAGATGGGTAAGGGGTCTAGGAGGGAAACAGGCTCACCTCTGCACCAGAAGAGGCCTTCGCTTGGGGAGCTGACTCCACTTGTGAATGACCTGGATGCCAATGCCTCGGGCTGATGCTGGCTAGAAGTAGAAATGAGATGACATTTGCTCCTGGCCCAGTTCTTTGGTTTTCCCACTTTCAGACCAAGTCCACCGTCTACTACCCACTGTGACTCACTCACTGGTTTAACAATCCACTTTTGGCGACTGCTGCTCTCCCAGGCTTTCCGCAGGAGCTTGGCATCCTGGGGCAGGATAAAGGATTGGGGGAAGAAACTGAACTCCTTCCTGCCAAAGCGGCTCTGCATACGGGACAGGTTCCGCCACAGTCTGTCCTTTCGCCCAATCTGGAATGAACCTGGGAAGTGATTCAGCTACAGAAGGGACAAAGGTGAGAGTCAGAAGAGGGCCCAGGTGAGACCACAAGGAAGAGTGCATAAGACACTCACTATACCATTCCAACTTCCTCCGCAACAACCCAAGCCTCTGCTCCATCTTATTATCACCATCATATGTCCTTAAGTTTAGCTGCAGATTACTCACCAAAAGACAAGACACAAAAAAACACAAAAAAATTTAATGTTCCCAAGAGCTGACAGTCAATAACATTTAACAGTGATAGAGATGCTGTTCACCAGCAGTACAAAAAAAAGCTGTTAATTCTTTTTTCACAACACTAGAACAAAACAGCTTATAGGAAAACGTATGGCCTTCAGTAAGTCTGGGGCAGGGGTCTTGTGTTCCAACATGAGACGAGAGTCCTCATAACACATATTCAATTTTAAGGAATGAAGTCAATGCAGTAGTTACAGGGAAAATATCATCAGCTGAAAACACACATTAGAGAAAAGCCTCTTGGAGAGGCTGTGACTGCCCAAGACCCGGCAGCTGAACTGCTGGCTATGTATGATCTACCAGAGTCACACTACACCCCCCTCCAGTAACTTCTCCAGTCCTTTATAAACCTTGATAACTTCTCCATGGTCATCATCCTCTTCCCTCCCCCACTCCCAATACTGACTTCTTCCTGTCTAGGAATGTCCAGGGGGAAAGATTCTCAGAAAGATCCATACCTTCTGATGCTCCCGAATGGATCGGAAACTAGGAGACTTCATGTGGTGGCCCCAGCAGCCTAGCCAGTCATCATTTCCTATAGAAGACACATCAGGGAGTCAGTTCTGCTAGTTCAGTCCCTGGGACAGAGAGAGGCTCAGAAGCTCCAGAAATACCACTGGGCCTGGGCACAGTTCCCAGGCCCTGTTCTCAAAGAGTTTCCATGGAGCTGTCCTACATGAGGCGCTGGTAGAACAATGGACCTCTGTTTTCCAGTTTTGAAGAACGGGCTCCAGCCCACAGGGATTTCAGAGTTATGACCCCAGATAAGGTTGACAACTTTAAGAGAGGGTGCCCACAGAATAGGAAGTATCTAGGACTCTCCTCCTGCCCAAAGCCCATCTGTTGGGGCAGAGGACAGGCTCGAAGGAAGGTAAGTGACTCACGCTTGCTGACTTTGAAGTGGGACCGTCCAATGGTCTGCTTGACAATGTTGGGGGTCACTGTGCTCATCTTCCACCGAAGCAGCTTCCTCTGCTCCCAGGGAAGTTTCTCCACTGAGGGAAAAGGGGGCAGGAGGTGGAGGAAGACAGGAGATTCAAGGTGAGAAGAGGGAAAAGACGGCACTGCTGTTCAACCCTGTCTGGGTAGGCACACCACTAAGTATTGATCCAGATCTAAATTTCAAAGGAGCATGCTCTGGGGCAGAAGGGAGCAGCCTAGAAATGAGGAGCACAGAAAGAAGGGGAAATTGAAAGAAGAAAAAACAAAGGTAGAGAGCATGAACTAAGCATGAGATTATAAGGCCTATAAGGGTCAGTTGTAAGGTGAGAAAACAGGCCATATTAAACCAACAGGGGTGGTGGGAAGCGGGCAGCTGAGTTCCCAGTGTGATGATAACCACCCAACAGCCCCTTCCACTCCTCCCAACTTTGTCAGTCTCCTTCCTTCTCCTGGGAGCTCCGCTGAGGTTTACCTCTCTCATCCCGAGTGCCAAAATAGATGGTAGGGGGCACGTTGGGAAAGAGACTATAGATGAGAGCTGGTCGGACAACTTTCTCAGTGGAAAGGGGTTGGGTCAGAATCTCCGTGCAGTTCCTAAGATAAAAAAAAGACATGTGGCAAAGAAAGACAAAGCCCAGCCCTAAGTGTTGTTATTATTAGTTAGCATTTCTTTCAGGTATTCTTCCTTCTTTTTTTTTTTTTTTTTTGGTGGGACCTTCACAGGCGGTCCGGGCTCGAACTGGCACTGCAGAGGCTGTGGGCAGCCTCACAACCCAGCGCTCAACCGCTGCACCACCAGGGGAGGCCCATTTCAGGTATTCTTTTAAATTGTGATTCTACAAAGTGCTTAATTATTTTGTAAATACTGATCCATAAAGTGCTAGGGCTAACCAATACAGAAGTACACCATTAAATGTCACCTAAAGACAAAATTTTGCAAAACTTCACCCTATGATACCGCTCCAAAAGTTGCTGTGACAAGCCAGAGGCTAGATAGATAAGTCCCTGAAAAGAGTGGTTCCAAGCAGAGATAATGAATTCAGCTAGGTAATAATAGAGGACTATGCTACACTAAGACAAAGAGAAATAGATAAGGATAACTATAATGGAAGAAAAATACAAAAGACCTAAGAAGTAGTACAGAGGTTTTTAAAGGGGAAAAAAGCAAAGGGAAAAAAGAAAAGAGACAGTTATGCTTCTAATTCATTTTATATTTAGGTTTTTCTGAAGATACAAGGATGATTAACTCTTCTTCACTTTGGAAATAACTGTGAAGCCAGACTTAACATGTAGAGCTGTGTGATAAAGCAGCTCTAGGAATCTGGGGTAGAGGGCCTCATGGGCTCCCTACTGGCTGTTCCAACAATGGCTTGGCCAACGTTACCTTAAGAGGTCTCAAAATAGTGAACCCTCCCTGGTGGTGCAAGGGGTTAAGATGCAACCTATGAAGCTATCCGCAGCCTCCGCAGCACAAGTTCGATCCCCGGCCAGGGAGCTACCCGCATGGTGTAACAGACCTCTCCTGACTCGCTCGTTGCTCCCCTCAGCAGTGTATTTCAGTCAATCTGCCTGTTCTGTTCCCCACTCTGTCTCTGGTGAATCCTCTTACCAATCCCTGCCCCCACACCTCTGGCCTGTACCCCAGTTCTTGTATGCATAAATAAGTAAATCTTTAAAAAAAAAAGTGAATCCTCAGCTATCACAATTGGGAAAAAATAAGATTTTAGCAATCCAAAAGTATTTCTGATTTCAGGGATCTTTAAAATGCAAAGTGGTTTGGGATTCCGCAACCTCCATGTTTAAGCCTCAGATAGACAAGATCTGTACATTGTAAAGACATTAAATTCATAGGCAAATTATTACCAAACACCTTTTGTGAATTTTATCTTATGAATCAAAAAAGTTAAATAAAGGGCTAAACAGCTGTCTTGAAGTAGGTGTGATGTCAAATCCAGCATCTACCAACGATCTACACAGCTAACACTCACCGAGAGATCACTGCTACCGACTCGCTGGGGGAGACACCACTGAATGAGGAGTACTCTGAGTCGCCTAGGGGGAAAAGCAGAGAAGTTCCAACTGGGAGAGGCTGCTACACAAACTTACCAAACCCAGGAAGCTCCTCCTTGGACATCCTGGGTTCAGCCACCTTGCGTAGCCACAAGCACCACCCTGCTGCCTCGCACTGCCTTCCTGAAGCTTGAGTAGCAGGGAGAAGGCAAGACTATGGGACAGGAGGACTAAAGAACAAAGTGCCACAAAATCTACTGACACTTTAGACACCCCCAAAGTGAATGATTAGTGTAGAGTCAAGGACCTGGTATACATTTGTTAGCCCCCTTCCCTAACAGATGGTGCCCAATTCTCAGCTGGAGGTCAGAGGGTCCCCTACTCACCGTCTTCCTCCTCTTCATTCTCATCATGGCTACAGCTGTCTTCCAAACCATCAACAAGCTCTTCTTCTAAATCTTCAGCCTCCACCCGGTCTAGCTGAAGGTCGGTAGCTGAACTGGAAATAAGAACCAAGGCCCCAAGCTGAGTTAACTCCAAAAAACAGGTCAGTTTCTCAATTCTTCATCATTTCCCAAGTTTATCTTTTCCCCAGTCACCAACCTGCGGTCTCTTGCCTGGATCTCTTGCCCTCATAGCTTAGGTCTAGTCATAGTTCCTCAACCTTACATCCCCTACTCTGCAGAGAAGCACTAAGTCTTCCATCTTCTCTGAAGTCCTTCATAGCATTTAAGGACAAAATTCTGCATATAAAACACCATCAATGAATGTCTGATAATTGACTTCAAATGTCCCTAAACATCTCTCTGGAAACTCAGACTAAGGCCTTACTGGACCACAGTTCCACAGGGGTAACCAGGCAGAAGAGACAGAGCCATGTCTGTGTGTACGCCCTAACTCTGAAACAGCTATCACTCAGGAACAAGTGAGAACTTGACTAGATTTGGAATTAGGCAGAAAAGCCACAGAACCCAACATGTGGTATTTAGGATTTTTATCTCTCCCCTAGTTTTAACCTAAAGTGCTGCACCTCCCCCTCTTCCTCTAAAGAAACAGAGAGCATATTCAATTTTGTGGGCCATTCAGTATGTCACAACTACTCAACCCTAAAATTTTAACATGCAAGTAGCCAAAAACAGCAGTAAATGCTTTCTTTACATTTATTATTTATTACATTTATTATGTAATAAATATGATTACATTTATTATTACATTTATACATTTATTATATTATTACATTTATTATTTATTTACATTTCCTGCTTTATTTACAAAGGCAGGAAACGCATGCACATTTGGCATGCAAGTTGTAGTTTGCTGCTCTCTGTCCTAAAATGAAACAATTCTAAGGCAGCTAAATAATAAAACCAAACCTCAGAGCCATTGACTGGGTGTCTCCAAATTATGGTATATACATTCTACTTTTCTAAATGAGCCAAAAACCTTCCCCAACTTACCCAACATCCCTAGCAGCTAAGTCCAGCTCTCTGGAAACCTTAGGCCCCTCCTTCCCAAGTTGGCTCAGATGGATGGAAGAGAGGCAGGTAGTCATGTCAGCAATGCCAAGGGGCTGAGGTGGTGAAAGCAGAGCCAGAGTTTTGTCTTCTTCAAGTGGTGGAGAGCTGCGCTCAGGCAGAGAGCCACAGGTAGGACTATGACTAAGCCCACTGGTGTGAGAGGCAAGGAGGTGAATGCTGATACGTTTAGTACAGAAGACTGTACTGTCCAACTCCAAGGTGTCCGAGGACCCAGAGAGGATCCTACTGTCTGCTCCAGCATCCTCCTGAGAAAACTGCTGGCCTATCACAGGTTTCCACTGTCTGTTCTTGTTGATGGGCGTCCACTGCAAGCTGGGATTCATGAAAGACTGTTCAAACTGGTAGCTTGGTCTTGGCTTCTTCTCAAAACTTCTTGCAGTCAACTTCCTTACAGCCTCAGTGAATCGAACCTCCTTAGTCAGAGCCTGAGAAGCAGAATTGCCATCCAGGCTACTCTGATTATACCAGGAAGAGGCAACACTGGTGGTGGAAGTATTGAAGGAGTTAGGGGTAGTTGGGATATTGTGGGTAGGGGCATCATTTAGCATAGTGCCACTACTTTGGGAAACCTTGTGTTCAACAGGCTGGAGTATACAGTCTCCGGTGCCCCCTGAGTGATGCCAGGAGACAAGTTGGATCTTGGGTGAAGATACTGGCTTCAGGCCCTCGGCGGCCTGCGATAAAGGCACTTTAGTGCTATTTGGCCTCAAGAAGGAGTTGTTATTTAGCATGGGTTTGTAGGAAGAAGAGATTGGAGATGGGATCTTCCCTGAGATGGCAGAGACCAGGCTCTTCCCTGAAGGGTTTTCCCCAGCTGCTCCCAGCGAGAGGTATGGATCTGTGGATAAGGATGCCATGGGTTGGGTCATGGGGAAAACCATGGAAGAGGTGGCCTTATTGGCAGTGAGACTGACAGGGAGGCTCTGTTGAGGAAGAGAAAAAGGTCTTTTGTCTGATGGGCTTGAACGCAAGCAAAACGACTCCAGCTGCTGGTATGGTTTGTGCCTGTAGTTGGAGCGGCGGTACAGCAGGGGATTGCTGATCAAGTCCGGGAGAGAGTGCAGGTAACAGGAGTTGCTGTGGTCTGCAATGACAGCTGTGGTCCCAGAGCTACATAAAGTGCTGGGGCAAAAGAAATATGCTGGCTGGGGTGGGACACCCAAGAAGCCTGTGCCCTGCCCGGCTGAAAGTGTCCCCACGTGCTTTTTCTCCAGCTTCCAGATAGGCTTCACCTGCTGATGGGCCTGAGACCAGACTTTGCCCTCAGAGGGCTTCTCAGGTGATGGGGCAGGCACTGTGCCTGAGGGACCACTCTGCTTGAAGCTGTTTCCCCGCCGGAGGCCAATACTGTAATGCTCTGTTCCTGCTGAGGCCATGAGGGGTCCACATCATGGCCACATGGCTTCATGACCTGGTTCAGGTAAGATGCCACGCACCTCCAGTAGTAGCAACTGCATCCCTGAAGCCCGTCAGCCTAAAAGGAGAAAAACAACTGGGAATATTAAAGTCCTAGGAGGAGAGTTTCAGTGCTACAGTGGTCCTCAGGTAAGCAATACAGTCCCACATCAGCATTTTTCTTGGGCAACCAGCCTTGGTCATTATTTGGGGAAGACTCCTAGAATGTTTTCAGTGGTCTTCCTGCTGCCCTCATGCAGTCAAAGCAGCTTTATCAAGAACTGGGACATTAAAGTCCCATCACTGTGAATCTGCTAACGTGTTCCCACTCTCTCACTCTGCTCTTTCCTCTTTCTCCAAAGAAAATCACATTTTTCTGTCTCACCATCCATGACCTTATATGAATGGCTTCCTTCCCTCACCTAATACTAGTATATTTAGGAATAAGGCAAATTTGAGGGTGGCAGAGCAACTATCCAGGATCTTCTACTTCACTAACCAATTCTCCAAAGTCAAAGACCACTTGAGAAATCTATTTTATATTTACTGTTCCCTAACCAATTCTCAGCTGTCCCTAGTGTAGTGTCCATTTCACAGTTAAGTGTGACAAGCTCAGATGCTGATCTTTGGTGTTCATTCTGGTGCCGAGGCAATTTCATCTCTTCAAGAGTCTTGCAGCCTATATAGACTTAAAGACTCCATCATCTCACATGTCGGTGGGAAAAAGAAACAAGATGGAAGTAGACGATGACAATTCTATTTAAAATAACAATTTCCAGGGCCTCCCCTGGTGGCGCAGCGGTTGAGGGCTGGGCTGCAAAGCTGTCTGCAGCCTCTGCAGCGCCGGTTTGATCCCCGGCTGCCGGTGAGGGTCCCACATGGCACACAAACCTCTCCTGCTGTGCCCGCAGCTTCCCTCAGCAGTGTACTTCGTCAGTCTGCCTGCTCTGCTCCCCACTCTGCCTCTAGTGAATTCTCTCACCCTCCCGCGCTTCTGACTGTACCCAGTGCTTGTATAAATAAATAAATAAATCTTTAAAAAATAAAATAAAATAACAATTTCCAGCAGCCACAGTGGGGGAGTATATGATGGGGGCAGGAAAGGAAAGAGGAGAGATGTTTTCTTTATTCCAAATCCCAGGCTTCAGTTTGAAGGGACAGCCTATTTATACATTTCTCTCATTCACTATTTCCTCTAATGCAAATACTCTGACCAAGACTAAAGTTCTGGGTCCCAGTCTGTTCAGGATGGTCATTTATTTTCTAAATCAAAATCGCAGAACAGTTTCTAGTTTTCACAATTGCAGGGAAAGGTAAGCCTGCTTTCATGACTGCACCCAAGGGTGCAGAAGACATTTCTGGAAGAAGTCGTTTATCCGGGGAACTTTGAATGGAATCTTGACATCCTTATCAAGTGTGTTCAGAGAGGCTAGAGGAAAGGTATTAGCCAAGAATTTCTTCTGCTCAACTTCATATAAAACACATCTTAAACAGGGGCCTCCCCTGGTGGCGCAGCAGTTGAGCGCTGGGTTGCGTGGCTGCCCGCAGCCTCTGCTGCACCAGTTCGATCCCCGGCCACCGCCGAGGGTCCCACCAAAAAAAAACAAACAAAACACACATCTTCAACAAAGAGAGGACCTTGTATTTCCTAAGAGAATGATGGCCACGGAAAAGCCACAATTCCTGTCTACAGCTACAGGAATTGTGGTGTCATCTACCAACCAAAAGTCTGCAGAAGCTACATGCTGTCAACTTTTTTTTCTGCAAAGGATGGCCTACATGGATTCTTTCCCACAAATATAAAAATCATAACTCATCACTGACAAGACTGAAAATGATAGTGGATTAAAAACAACCTAAATGCTAAATTAGAGCTTGATACCTGTAATTTAAAATTAAGGGGACCAATTATGAACCTTCACTAAGTGCAGACTATGGAAAAATGAGGGGACAATTATACTCTGTTCACGTATGGTGGAAAAGCATAAACAAAGGAGAGAGTCAAATCCTGCCAGTGACTTGTGACCACACATGAGCAAGAGAGCTGCACATTCAACAGAGTCAGTCCCAATTCACACCATCCTCCTTCAGGAATTCATCTTGTCCCACCACCAATGCACCACAACAGACACTCCAGAGGGATGGGAGAAAAGGGTAAGGAAATGAAATTTCAGATTGGTACACTCTGAAAAATACCCCATTTCTGGATCCTCTGATGAATCTTGCTGTCTCAGACCTTGATGCCACTCCTTGGAGCCCTCTCCTTATAAGTGCCACTCCTTGGAGCCCTCTCCTTCCCTTTCACCAGACTAAAAAATAATCTGCTCAAATACAGCCTTTTCCAGGTATCCTTCCCGGACCCCCCAGTTCTAACAGGATGCCTCATTTCTGTGCTCACACCGTTACGGTTTCTATTACACTGAGCTCTAAAAAGGGACTAACTCCTCTGATCAAGAGCCAGGAGCATGTTTTCCTCCAGCTGATTATCTCCGGTACAGTTTCTGGCACACAGTAAGTACTCACTATTCTGCTGAATAAATAAACCGAAGTATACTGAATGAAGAGGTAGCCAACAGGCACTGAGGAATCCTAGTTTGGGCCCCTAACAAATGTCAAGTACCATGCTGGATACTTCACCTGTGTTATCCCATTGAATTCTCACAAAAATCTTACATTCAATTTACTGATGATGAATCTGAGACTCAAAAAAGCTAATTTTTCTGTAATTAAATGACCAATAAGGAGTGACCCAATTAAAACTCGAGTGTGTCGGACTCCACAAGGCCTCCTAAATAAATGAACATATTTATGTCCCTGTTTCCTCGATTATCCCTAACTTTCAGGTACAAGACAAAAGCCTGTTGGAAACACAATTCCTCTGTTTATACTGAGCCCCTCCGTGGGTGAAGTGCCCACACGTTCTCATCTGCACCGCAGCCAATCCCATTTCCCTTCTAGCTGCAGGCGCTCGCTGCACACCAGCCTCAGGGCTCAGTGAAGAAAAGCCTTCCTTCTCACACACTGCTCAATGTCTGCCTCTCTGCAGCCCACCATATTAGTCCTCAGTGCCAGGAATACTGACCACAGGCTGCCCAGCATCTAGCCAACTTGTCTTTTTATCCACGTGAGGAAGAGGAGGCTACACTCTCACCCTCGCCAGAAGTTGCTGGTGCCCTGTTTCCGGGCAGAGTGAAGCAGGTCAGCGGTAAGTGCCAGAATAAAGTAGACTCTATTCTCTTTGACTAACAAGACTTCACATCTTGAATGTCTCCACAGTGGCATGTCCTATTCGTTGTTTTCTCTGATTTGTAGGAAGATGGTTTGGAAAAGGGCTACCTGTCTTCCTAGAGCAGCATGTTTGAACACAAGGACCGAACAGGTGGGATGTTTCTGTCATGTCACCCTCCTTTTGGAAGTAGCTCCATGGCTATTAACAGACACCCAGGGTTGAGTAAGATGTCTGTGTCAGGAGCTGCCAAGGAAAGACAAATCTGTCATGAAGGACATTCTGCAGAGTAGCTTCAAAAACATGAAGTAAACAATATCACTCAGAACAGCAGCATATACAAATGTTTTAACCTGGTAATACTGCTTTTGGTTCAGAAGCAGTATCTATTTTAGACAAGGAAATGATGGTTGCTAAACCAATTTCCTCCTTTTTCTTACAGGGATTCCTGATAAAATCAGAACTCCACATGATGGGAAGCCAAGACCCAGCTAAAACATCCAGGTGCCCAGGTGCCCAGGTCCCAGAGTCAACTGCTGCCACAGGTCTGCTCAATAGCATTATCACTCAAGTGCCAAGGAATGACCCCCATCGCTCCAGACTGGAATGCAGATTGACAAAACACTTTAAGGGTCCAAAATATAAGAGGAAGTGAGAAAAGTTTTTAAAATGAACACAGGAAGAATAGTGGTTTCTGCCGTAAAGTCAAAGTTCAGATGGGCAAATAATGTCTGGGGCCCATCCCCCACAGACAGCACACACTCAAAAGGCAATTTCTTTTCTTTTCTTTTTTTTAGAGATTTATTTATTTATGCATATAAGAGCTGGGGTACAGGCCAGAGATGCAGGGGGTGAGAGGATCCACCAGAGACAGAGTGGGGAACAGAACAGGCAGACTGACTGAAACACGCTGCTGAGGGGAGCAGCGGGCAAGACAGGAGAGGTCTTCTGCGCCATGTGGGTTTCTCCCTGGCTGGCCTGCAAAGGCTGTAGATTGCTTCATAGTGTGGTGTTTAACCCTTTGCGCCACCAGGGAGGCCCTCAAAAGGCAATTTCTTTGCAAGATCATCAAATTTCTCCCCTGTAGTATACTCTGGGCTCCTGAATACCAAGGAGACCCTCTCCCCAATCTCTCTCAAATTTCTAAGTGCACTGTAATAATACATACTTTGTATGTCTCTGTGTACCCACCTTTAGAATCTAAGAAAAAGGCTGCCCAGCTCCCAGGAAATATTTTAAGACTGAGACAGCAAAGGAACAAGAACAAGGAGAGAAAGTATTTATATATGCACAAAGCTACACACAGGTCACTAATGGAAGCACTGTTTCAAAAAGATTCAACTTAAATCTAAACGAAGAGTACTGGGGCCTCCCTGGTAGTGCAAGGGGTTAAGTCTCAGAACTACGAAGCTATGGGCAGCCACTACAGCACCAGTTCAATCCCTGGCCAGGGCACTAACCCACATGGTGCAGCAGACCTCTCCTGTCTCACCTGCTGCTCCCCTCAACAGTGTTTTTCAGTTAATCTGCATGTTCTCCAGCTCTGTATGCATAAATAAAATAAATCTTAAAAAATAAACTTAGAGTACTGATGATTATATAATTTATAATGGATTCACAAATTCCATTATTTTCAATTTACATAGTTTTTTTTTCCCCCAAAGGTTTATTTATTTATACACGAACCGGGGTACAGGCCAGATGTGGGAAAGGTGAGAGGATTCACCAGAGACAAAGCAGGGAACAGAACAGGCAGACTGATGAAATACACTGCTGAGGGGAGCAGCAGGTAAGACAGGAGAGGTCTGCCATGCCATGTGGGACCCTCGCCGGCCAGTTGTCCGGGATGGAACCAGCACTGCAGATGCTGTGGACAGCTTCACAGCATGGTGCTCAATCGCCTGCGCCACCAGGGAAGGCCCCAATTTATATACATTTTTAAGCTACATATATCCAATACTTACTGATAAGCAAAGATATTCACACTTACTCTATCTAAGTCCAAAAGATCCACCATCAGCTGATCCTCCAATTAACAGTTTGTGAGCGAACTTACTTTAGAAGCCAAAAACTGACCTCATCTGAGAAAGAATTTTTTTGAATCTAATATATTTTATAAAGTTACTAATCTTATGCCTTTCTTGTTCTTATACATTATCCCAGGGGGAAAGGAAGGCTTAAGGGGTTACGGGAACAGGAGGTATAAATAATAAGCTATAGTCTGCAGAGTTTAAGTCTGGAAGCAAACAAGGAAAAAAAGAAAGGCTAGTCGAGGGTAGAGTTGCTGAGCAGACAGTCAAAGAAAAGTCCCTCTGAAACAGCTCTTAAGAATTCTGAATATGTTTATGCCAAAACAAAGGTCTAAAAGAACATACACCAGGCTTTTATGGTGGTTGTCTTGGGGACAGGGGTGAGATAAAAGACAGCAGGGGATGGGAGTGGAATCCTTTCTACTTTATTTCATAGGCATCTGTGTTGTTTTATCTTTCAATAACAAACACATATACTACTTGTATGAAGCTTTCTAAGATTCTCCAGGCACTACTACTACACACAGCCATGCTGTATCAGCAGTTACCACCGTTGGCAATTCATGCCAAACAGAGTTCTGATGAACTGTGAATCCCATTCAGTGCTGAAATCACACAGCTGGTTTGAGAAAAGACAAGAAGTGAGGGAATACCATAACCCCCACCAGAGAGGGTAAGTAGAAATTATAAATCCACAATAAGCATAGTGTGTGGCCCACCCTAAACATCAAGGAGTAGTAGTTAATGCTCACTGTTACTCGCTCCGAATGATCTAAACAAGCTGCAATGAAGGGGTGAAAAACAAATGGAGCAAGCAACAATTATTCTACCACAAAATTTCAACTAGTACAAGTAATATTCATTCATAAAAACATCATTTGGAGACATTCATTAAATTTATTTTTATCGTAACTAGACTCCAGCTGCAGGTGCGACTTGGCGCTAAAAAGCAACTGAAAAATACCTTGGGACATGCCAGAGAAAACCTTTGTTTCTTATAATTTTTATAACTAGATGGTTGGGATTACTGAAAACACTGGATGAATAGAGTTAGAAAGTGATTGTTTACAAAGTAAAAATCAAAATCAACAAGCAATTATAAACCAGACACACTACGGGGTGGGGGTGGGAGGAGCGGGGAAAGGAAGGACTAGAGTCAAAATAAGAGGGGGGTGCAATGAATCAACTATATGATATGTATATTATACCTCAATAAAGCTATTAAAAATGGGAGGGAATAAAAAAAGAATAGAGGAGCCAGCCTAAAAAGTTACACTTTAACCAAAACTGGGATAATCTGAGCTGCAAAATAAATATTTGGTAAAATAAAACAACAATCCCTACTGATATAAATAAAAGGATGAATAAATGCAGGAGAAAGAATAACTTAAAGCAAGATTCCACCTAATAAGAATAGAAAACCACCATCATCAACTACCACAAAGTAATTGCTGCTTCAGGCAAAACTCATCAGTGGATCCTAAAATTAGTGGTTGAAAGATTATTAAGAAAGTAGGTAATTGCGCTGCTTCAAAATAGCTCACCATGGGGCCTCCCTGGTGGTGCAAGGGGTTAAGCACCAGCACTATGAAGCAATCCAAACCTACTGCAGCATGAGTTCCATCTCCAGCCAGGGAGGTGACCCACATGGCGCAGCAGACCTCTCCTGTTGTGCCCGCTGCTCCCCTCAGCAGTGTATTTCAGTCAATCCACCTGTTCTGTTCCCCGCTCTGTCTCTGGTGAATCCTCTCAACCCCCAGGCACCTCTGGCCTGTACTCCAATTCTTGTATGCATAAATAAACCTTTCCAAAAAAAAAAAAAACCCAAAAATCAAAATAGCTCACCATAAGATATTTATTACTTACAAAGGGGAAAACTTTTCTATTTGACAGTAGAAAAACCTTGCAGACACCATCTTAATCAAGTGATTAAAATTATTACCATCAGTAATAGTCAAAATGATATATAATGCACTGTCATTTCTTCGACTTCCTGCCAAAAATGCATTACCTAATGCACAAGGAAATACTAACTAGGCCATTCTACAGGACTAGTCCCTACTCCTCAAATGTGTCAAGTTCATTCAAGACAAAGTAAGCCTGAGAAACTACTCAGATTAAAGGAGACTAAAAAGACATGACAACTAAATGCAATGTGTGATCCTGAAACAGATAAAGGATACGGTAGGGGCACCAGGAGCTCATTAAGGCAGATCGGGTAACAGACTTATATAGTATATGGTATTATATCAGTGTTAGTTTCCTGATTTTACTCACTATTCTGTGGCAATGTTAGAGATTGTCTTTGTTTCAGGAAACATTTAGGGTGCTTTATGAAATATTCAGATGTAATGGACATCTCATCGTGTAATATACTCTCAAACATTCCAAAATGTTCACATATGAATAATTCAGTAAGTATGGTAAAATGTTAACATTTGAATCTGGGTAAAGAGTAAACATGGATTCTTTATACTATTTTGTAAATTTTTGCAACTCTGAAATAATTTCAAAATTAAAAAGTTATTTTTTAGATGGGATTACTACTTAAAAGGAAGCTTGATTTGTCTCAGACCAGGAGACAGGCAAGCACACAAAGTTAACTTCAACTTTTCTTTGAAATTAGACTGGCAGGAAAGGACCCCACATCACCAAACCAAGACTTAATACTTCCTTAATTACAATTTCAGTCAATCCCAGGAATGGAATCCTTAAACCAGGCAACCAGTGAATGATTCAGCAGGAGAAAGACAAATACCGGATGGTATCACTTATATGTGGAATACAGAGAAACCAGACAAACGGTCAGATAAAGCAAACCCAAAAACTAGCCCTTGAAAGCAAACTACAGAATAGAGACATCTGTCGGGGAGAGGCAAGGACAAAGTGGGGTGGTGGGCTATGGGCACTTTAGTGATGGGAGCATGATGGTAACACCAAAAGGGGAGGGATCTTATACTTCCAAAATACAGATGACAGGGTAAACCAATGTTACCTCAACATGAGTAAATGAATAAAGCAAAGGGGACAATGTGGGAAGCACAAGAACTTCTGTGACCACTGTTATTCAAGGAGGGAACATGTTATCTTCTAATCTCCTTGAAATTAGATGGGAATGTCAGACTTTAGTAAAGTCATGCTAAGTGGGAGGACTAGCGAGAAAGGAGTGGATCAATCATATTACTCAATTAGCCTTTCAGGGTCATGTAGGAAATAAGCTGCAAACTACACTATGAAGACATGAATTAAAAAATGTCCAGACAGAAGGGGTTACAGTCCTTGGACGGGTGTGCACGCAACCCAAAAACTCCTAACATGTCCTGTGGTAAGCATTTCCCCACCTCAGCAGAACTCTCTTGCACTCACTCATCCACTAACAAGTCTTTCCAGCTTCAAATGTCATGAATCCATATATTCTCCACTCCCACTCTTACTAAGTCCAAGCTGCCATCATCTCTCACCTGCTCCTACTCTTAATGCCTTCTTTCAATCTATACTCCAGACTGTGCTGTGGTGCTTTTGAAAACACAGCTTAAAGCCATCTGATGGCTTCACTTGATTTCTGACTCCTGACAATCTCTCTAACATTATTCACAGCCACCCCTTCCTTCTCACCAGGAATGTTCACCCTTCTGTTCCCCTGGAAACTCAGATCTCTGAATGGCCAACTCAGTTCTCTCACCTATATTCAGCTAATATCACCACCTTCCCTCTCTACCCTGATATTGCCCTACCCCCATATTCCCTATTTTATTGTTTCACTCCCTCACTATCTGAAATTATATATTATTATTTCCTTACAACTGCCTAAAGAAACAATGGAAAGATAAACTGATTTTTTTTTTTCAAATAGGTTACCAGTGGGGTATGAAATTATCTATGTATGGCTTTTTCTATCATTTTAATTTTGGAATTATATAAATGAATCATCTAATTTAAAAATTTAATAATATTCTAAGTAAAAAATTATAATATATATGTAATCCTTGGGGATTTGTCTATCTTCTCTTCCAGAATGAAAGCTCTGGATAGCTGGAACCTGATTCACACACTGTATGCCCAACCCTAGAAATGTAATCAGGGTTCACCAAATATTTGCTGAATAAACAATGGATCTGGGCCTCCCTAGTGGCGCAGCAGGTTGAGCACAGCACTGTGAAGCTGTCCGCAGCCTCTGCAGCACTGGTTCAATCCCTGCCGGCCTCAAAACAACCCACATGGCGAGAAGACCTCTCCTGCCTCGCCCGCTGCTCCCCTCAGCAGTGCATTTTGTCAGTCTGCCTGTTCTGTTCCCCAACTCTGTCTCTGGTGAATCCTCTCACCCTCCCACGCATCTGGCCTGTACCCCGGCTCTTGTATAAATAAAATAAATCTTTAAAAAAAGAAACAATGGGGCCTCCCCGGTGGCGCAGTGGTTGAGCGCTGGGTTGCGAAGCTGCCCGCAGCCTCTGTGGTGCTGGTTCAATCCCTGGCCGCCGGGTGAGGGTCCCACATGGCGCACAGACCCCTCCTGCCGCCCGCTGCTCCCCTCAGCAGTGTACCTCGGTCCCTCTGCCTGTTCTGCTCCCTGCTCTGGCTCTGGTGAATTCTCTCACCCTCCTGCGTTTCTGACTGTACCCAGTGCTTGTATAAATAAAATAAATAAATCTTTAAAAAAAAAAAATGGATCTACAACAGGCATAACCAGCAAAGCAAGTTGGACCTCTTCAAATTTGCTAAAGGAGCAGAGACAACAGGCTCAAAATGGAGTCACTTATGCTAAGTCCCACATCACCAAACCAAGACTTAGTACTTCCTTAATTACAATTTCAGTCAATCCCAGGAATAGAATCCTTAAACCAGCCAATCTGGAATCACCTGGTTAGCAACAGTAAGGTAATCTGACTGACAGACCCCTGCTGTTCCCTAAAGGAAAGTGGCCTGCCACAATCCATACACTTTTTACTAGTACATATTCCTTGTCAGTTTCCATCTGCCCATAAGTCTTTCATTTGTACAGCTCTTTGGAGATTCTATCTGCTAGATGGCATGTTGCCCAATTCATAATCACTAAATAAAACCACTAAACCACTAAATAAGAATCACTGAAACTTCAAAATGTACCCAGTTGGGGCTTTCCTGGTGGCGCAAGGGGTTAAGTCTCAGCACTATGAAGCTATCCACAGCCTCTGCAACACAAATTCAATCCCCAGCCAGGGAGCTACCCACATGGCGCAGCAGACCTCTCCTATCTCGCCCAGTGCTCCCCTCAGCAGTGTATTTCAGTCAATCCACCTGTTCTGCTCCCCACTCTGTCTCTGGCGAATCCTCTCACCAGCACTCCCCACGCCCCCACACCTTTGGCCTACACCCCAGCTCTTGTATGCATGAATAAATAATCTTTAAAAAAATAATGAAATAAAATGTACCCAGTTGAGTTTTGCTTTTTAAGAGAGTAAACATGTTCCTGCTATACCACCATCTCCTTGTTGCTATTTCTTTACTCATGATCCCTTTACTCATTAATTCTGCTAGTTACACCAACTCCTTCAATCATGCCTTTCCCTCCTCCTTAGCTCTCCTGGAAAATCCTCCACAGTTCCTCTCTTTTATCAAAACAATCTGCTCTCACAATTTCAAGTACTATCCGTAGGAGAAATCACTTTCAGACCTGACCTCTCTCAAGTTTCAAGTCCTCATCACCAAGTCTCTGCTCCACCTTTTCCATTTAATCCAGCTTGTCAAACAGCTCGGCACTCCTGACCTTCCCATTTCTTTAAGTGGAACCGTCTTTCTTTCAGTGACCTAAAAGGAAAACTTAAATCATTCCTGACTCCCTTTTTCTTATTCTCCAAAGCCAAATCAGTCACAAAATTTAAGAGTGCTTTCTTCATAGCAAGCTTCCTGCTTTGATGTCCACCACCCCTGCCCCCACCTGTGGACAACAGCAACAGCAACAAATTTCAGACTGAAATTTGTGTGTCCCCGTTTTGCCCTTCCCAAGTCCATCCTTGAGACAACCTTCAGATTAACTTTGCTCAAACATTACTTGACCAGGCTACTCCTTTTTCAAAAATGTTCCATGAGTCCTCAGTAAATTTCACAGCAGCCCACCACACCACTTACATCAGAATAACTTGGGGTACATTTTCAGCTGGTCTGGGATGGGGCCAGGGTTGAAAGACCTCACAGTAGTCTGCTTCAGACTTTTAAAGTTTATTTCCATTCCCTTCCACCTTGAACTCTGCTTTATGAATTGTGATGCCTTTACACTAAGCTCCTGGGAAAAGCCTTTCAAACCTGTCTGCAGACCTTCATAAGCGACATCTTTCTGAATTCTTATATTTTCCTTTTCTATACAAAATTCTTGTATTTCCTTTTCCTGGCTCAAGTCACACCCTCTTTATGAATATCTGTTGGGTATTTATTCCTCTAATTTGATACTTTGCAAAGGCTGTCTTTTACCACTGTCTTCTTTTCACATGCCTCATACGCTCCATGATGGTTTGTACAGGGGAATCCCTGCATATTCGTAATAGACAAGCTGCCCTACTGTGGCCTCCTCCTCAGGAGTGGCACCCAGGTCTCCTCAAACATCCCTTTCAATTTACATGCCTGGTCGGCCCAGTCTATTCACTAAGTCCCCACCCCTTCGCCAAATGTAGGACTGTTGCAGTAGCATCCTGACCCAGATATCGGACTCCAGCCTAAGCCTTTCTAAAGCATCTAGTGTCAGGAATCTCAACATTCTGCTCATTTGTAAAGCATTCAGAAACTACCCATCTCTTTCCAACTTCCAGATGTGTGGGTAATTTGCCTCAAGTTTTCTCCTTAAATGAGCATGATGAGCAGCCTAGGTGAGAAAATCTATGGCTCTTGTCTCAAATGATCAAGTCTCCAGGGGCCAGGCCCAGACAACTCGGACAAGGTATCTATTTCTGCAGAAAGCAATTATTCATTACCTGCTGATTAAATCACTCTCCTGTGTTACAGGAGTGTGGGTGCCTCTTGGGATCTGCAGTTTCCTTTTCTTCCTCCATCTAGCGGTCCCTCGGGTTGCAAGGGGAACTGAGGATATCAGAAATGGTTCAGAGTCTACAGTTCAAAGTATCAATGATAAGATCACTTTAACTGTTCAATAGGTATGTTAGAAGATTGAAATGAAGTACCTAGAAGCAAACAGAATGGGATGGAGTACAGGAATCAGAGCTATTTTCTCTTGTGAGATAGATCCCACGCTATGTTCCCCAAAGAAAATCGGAGCAGCAATGAATTTCTTTAAAAGCTCTAGTGAGAACAGAAGGTCAATACCCCAGTCATAATGAGGAGGGTCAGAAGCACAAGTTCAAGTAAGAACCTCTCCTAGAACACAGTTCAGTAATGCTAAAGGATTTACCAAACCTGGGGGTGGGGGAGGGAACCTAGTTTAAGGCAGCCAGAGCTGAGGGAGGTAATCTACAAATTACTGAAAAGTGAAAACAGTTAAAGGCTCAATGTAATTAGTGACTAATCAGAGAGAAACCGCTCTCCTCCTCCTCAGGTGCTTTCTACAGCTGTGGTTTTCCATAATGGTCTGCAGACCCGGAAGACACTTTCAAGGGTTCTGCTAAGTAAACTGTTTTCATAACAAAACTAAGACACGATTTTCTTTTCTTTACTGTGCTGACCTGTCCCCTGAAAATCAAACTACTAGTCAGTATAGAAGTTAAGACAATGGCACCAAGTAAGATTCTTCACAGCATAGTGAAAGAATACATGCCAGCTTTTACTTGAGAATGGACTTGAGTAACACAGTAAAAATTATATATTAAGTCTCAACCTTTGAGTAATATCTGTGTACTATTGTGTATGACGTGAGAAGACACTTATCTGACACACAGAACATGATTGTTGTTTCTAAGTAAAGCACCTGAGTGTGTGTTTGAACTGCAAGATTTTCCTGTGGAACACCATATTTACTTGAAAGAATAAGTTACACATAACTGATGGTTATTCAGACTCTGGTATTTGGCAGGCATTTTCTAGAAAATGAAACAAAATAAGCCCATCACTTCAAGAGCACAACTGACACTATTTGTTGCCAATGATAAAACTGAGCTTCCAAGAGAAAATTAGAATTCTGGCAAAACTGTACCTGTCACCATGAACCTGAGGTTGGATTTTCTTCATAATTCAATCAAAACAACACATTACAATTAAATGAGGGCAGAAACAGACATGAAAATCCCTATTAAGTCAGACATTTAAAAGACAGGCAAAAACAATGCCACTCTTCCCATTGATCTTGAAATAACATTTCTTATTTTAAAAATGTGACTTATGCTAACATGTAATAGGGTTATTATTTCTAAATGAACATTTTAATGTCTAATATGGTGAAAATTAATCTTCTCATTTTATCTGGCACACACTAAGCACTCAATAAATGGCAGCTACAATTGTTACCATAAACTCTCCCAGAGCAACCTCTTCCATCCTACTGATACAACATCAACCTTCTCAACTTTCGATCATGCTACAGACCTCTGTAGTGAGTTCCAGACCTGCAGAACACCTCCTGGGCCTTTCTACCTAGGTGTGCTGCAGGGACCTCAACTCAGTATGTCTAAAATGTAACTTCTCTTTCTTTCTCCTCAAAGCTGCTCATTCTCCCAATAGTTACTCCCATGTCACCGTAGAGCTGGTCACAAAAATCAGAAATCTAGATGCCAACTTTTAAATGGCATCAGAAAAGTGACACAGTTTTCCTTATTATCCTTCCATGGTTTTCTGGCAACATACTCTTCAATTGGTTTTACTCATGGGTCCCTAAAACCAAGTATTCTTTGCACACCTTAAAGATACCATCTAAGATTTTTCATCACAAGTTCAAACAAGTTTATTCTTTTGTTAAGGGAAGGTAGAAAAATATTAAACGTTTCATAGAAAGAATGAAGTTAACGAGTCTGACTATGGACTGGGGACATTATGAACTTAGACTCTGTTAAGAAAACCATTATTTAGTCATTGCAGTGGACTTAATGGTCCACTCTCCCACACACACACACAAAATTTCTCCCCCCAAGATAAATCTTAATTCCAGGAACCTTTAAATATTACCTTATATAGCAAAGCAAATATCTGAAATAAACATTTCAAGACTTGATTCAAGTAAAATTAAACACCTAAATGAAATCTCTTAAAAATGTTTATACATGTTTTATTCAATATAGCTTGAAAAACGCAAGTTTCCAACAAACATACAGTCACATCTAACTGTTGTGTTCCCAACAAGATACAAGCTTCACTCTAAGACTAATATGTATGAGACAGGGGAAAGATAGGAAGTCTTCCGGGTTTGTAAAACAATTTAATCAGCTACTAAAGGGGGCCTCTCTATAGCTTCGTTTGGCACCTGACATTTTTTACACTCTAGGCAATACAGGAAAATTTGATTGTGAGGGATTTGACCCCAACTCCTCTTTTTTTCTTTTTTTTTTTGGGTAAAGTCTATTTTAGAAGAGTATTTGGAAACTGAATATCCAGAAATTCATTCTTCTAAACCTGTATGGGCAGGTGTATCCCTTGGCAGTACTGGGCACCGACTCTCCCAGCTTAAAAACCACTGCTCTGGAACATACAGTTAAAGTTCTTCAGCAAAACATCTAACGCCCTTTGTGATCTAACGCCTATACACTTCCTCTTCCTATTTGCCAGCTGAGGTCTGTCAAACTGCTCCCAGTTCTTTTCAGGACTTGCTGTGTCTTTCTAAAGCAACTTTGTATCTAAAATGTCCTCTCACCTCTTTATTCCCAGAAAACACTAATTTTTTAAGGCTCCAAACAATAAACGGCTGGTAACTTTTGGTAAAAATCACCAAGAGACGTAGTGTTTTATGCAAACCATGTCTTAGTATTTACTGCAGGAATAAATAGTCTGGAACACTGTCCCATGGGTCCCCGAGCTGCCTGCTGACTGGCTAAACCAACAGGTGCTTAAGTTAGAGAAGACCTTCAGTACTTGAGAGAGAGCGGGAATGACTCTAAAGGAGGATTAAAACGTTTCCCAGACCCGGAATGGGAATTTTACGACCAGGAAATAAGGATAACAGAGTTTAACAAGGAAACCTGGGGTAGGTATCTTTCTAATGTTCTATCACAGCACACACCACACAGTATGGCAAATGCTTGTTTACTCGATTAAAGTCTCCTCTCCCCAAGACCACCGGCGCGATAAACACCCCCACTTAGTCCACCACCGTCTCCCCGCCACCCCCCGCGCCTCGGCGCCTTCCACAATGTCCTGGCTCATTAAATAATTTGTCAATGTTTACGAAAAATTACTGAATGATTAAATGAAAGACTGGCTAGATGGATGCGAGTTGAACTGCACCGGATCTCAGATCCAGGCTGAATCTTGCAGTTTAGGAAAGTATTTCTCTATAGATGCTAAATTCTGGAGGTGTGGGGGTTTTGAAAAGTGGATATCCGTATAAAATTCAGCCCAGAAGCCTGAGAGGCGCTCAGGTTCACACCCAAGCGAGAATTTAAATCCAAGCGCAGCGGGGACGAGGCTCCGCGGCCTAGGGAGAGGGGATTCTGCGGGGTTCGGGCAGCCAGGGGCGGGGCCGGCCCAGCTCCCGGGCCCAGGCGAAGGGGAGCCGGGTTCCGAGGAGGCGCGAAGCCGGGCCGAGTGGAAGGCCGCGCCCCTGCGCGCCCGGGGCCGGCGAGGCGGCGGGCAGGGAGTGGGGGCGGGGGCGGGGCGGGCAGGGCTGGGGACCCGCGAGAAAGGAGCCGGCCGGGGCGGGGCGGGGCGGGAGGGTCGAGCGGGAGGCTGGCCCCGGCCCCGCAGCCACACTCACCCGGCGGACCCAGCCGCGGCCCGGCTCGGCGCCGGCCCGGCGCTGCTTCCTTCTCCGGCCTGCGGGCGAGCGGGAGGCCTCTGCTGCCCCTGGCAACCGCGCTGCGCCTCGAGACCCGCGCTCGCAGCGCCGGCGCCGGGGCCGCCAGGCTCGAACTGCGCGCGCCCCCAGCGGACGGACAGAGGGCCTGGAAGCGGCGATTCGATCCGGAGGGAGGCGTGCGCGTGGAATCCCGGGGGTTATGGGCCTGTGGGGGTAGGCCGGCCCCTGGCGTGCGCATGCGCGATCGCTTCAGTGAGGGTGGGGGCGCCCGTAGAGCGGAATTCTGGGAGTCGTAGTCCCGAGGTTAAAGCCCCGCCAGGTTCCATCCTGGGACTCCAGATTCTTGATTCTTCCTAACCCCCGTGGGCTTTCTTTACCGTGGGCTTTCTTTAGCCGCACCTAACTCGTTCTTCTGAAATTAAAAAACAAAAAACCACACATACACACACACACACAAAAAAAAACCCTCAGGCTTAATAAAGAAATTTCTTAGTAGTTCTTTCCAAGAACAGTCTTTGGTTTTGACCCCAGGTAAGGAGGAATGGCCCCATCCACTCTGCATCCCGCACCCTCCTCTGTCTAACCCCAAGCCGCCCGGCAAGGGACAAGTGCAGTCACCTCCATTATGGCTTCAAGTGTGAAGTGTAGGATATACTGACTCATCTCCCCAGTCAAGAACAGGTCATGCTGCTTCATTCTCAAATGTCCCTAGACCTAAAGAATTTGCCCTAGAGATAGCAAGAAAGAGAAAGAATCTTTTCTAAACAGCTACAGGCATAGACAATAAGAGATGAAACTAACCCAATATGAATAATGTAGATCAGAGCAAGAATGCTAAATAAATCATTTATTTTGGCAAGTTATTGATGGATGTTAAAACCACTAGAGGATTTATAAGGGAATTTTACACTGGAACGGTGTTTGTCATCAGTTCTGTATTGTAATCTTCGATGATGAAATGTGAGATAGCTATAAATGTTATCTCCTGATGTGATGCAACTGAACATTTACGAAGAATCTAATCCAACCTAGTCTAATTTGGCTCCAACTTCCTGTAGATAAAAACAACACCACATGAAAACAATTAGACAATTCCAGAATGTGGGCCAATGTGCAGATGAATGACCTTGTTTCTTCAACAATTTGAGTAACCAAAAAAAAAAAAAAAAGGAAAGAAACAAAGAAACGCCCAAGCTATTCTACTTTATGAGAGACATAATCAAAGGTTATGGTGACCTCATTTGAACCCTGATTCAAACCAAGCAACTGTAAAAGCAATTTTTGAGGCAAAGGAGAAATCCTAATATGAACTGTAGACATTAAGAATTTAGATTATGTTAGGGCCTCCCCGGTGGCGCCACGGTTGAACGCTGGGTTGCGAAGCTGCCCGCAGCCTCTGCAGCGCCGGTTCAATCCCCGGCTGCTCTCCGGCTACCAGAGGAGGGTCCCACACGGCGCGCAGACCTCTCCTGCCGCCTGCTGCTCCCCTCAGCAGTGTACTTCGGTCCTTCTGCCTGCTCTGCTCCCGGCTCTGGCTCTGGTGAATTCTCTCACCCTCCCGCACTTCTGACTATACCCAGTGCTTGTATAAATAAATAAATAAATCTTAAAAAAAAAAAAAGAATTTAGATTATGTTAAAAAATTATTGTTAGTCATTGTAATGAACTGAATGATGCCCCACCATCCCCACCACTATCACTTAAATCCTAATTCCAGGAACCTGTAAATATTACTTTTTTTTTTTAAGAGGCATTTTTATTTATTTATTTATTATTATTTGTTTGTTTGTTTGTTTTGTTTCTACATGCACTGGGTACAGTCAGAAGCACGGGAGGGTGAGAGAATTCACCAGAGCCAGAGCGGGGAGCAGAGCAGGCAGAAGGACCGAAGTACACTGCTGAGGGGAGCAGCGGGCGGCAGGAGAGGTCTGCGGGCCATGTGGGACCCTCCTCTGGTGGCCGGGGAGCAGCTGGGGATCGAACCAGCGCCGCAGAGGTCGCCGGCAGCTTCGCAACCCAGTGCTCAACCGCTGCGCCACCGGGGAGGCCCTGTAAATATTACTTTATATTGCAAAAGATATGGTTAAGGGTTTTGGGAGGATTAAGAATTTTTCCTAGATTATCTAGTTGGATTCTAATCCAATGACATGTGCCCTTAGTGAAACTCAGGGTGATCTGGCAGATAGACCACACAGGAAAAAACAGCAATATGACCACTGTGGCAGAGAGACTGGAGGGATGTAGATACAAACCTAGCAGCACCCAGAACCCCAGAAACTAGAAGAGGTAAGTAATGGATTCTCTCCTAGCGCCTTCTGAGGGACTAGAGGCCCAAGTATAGCCTGCCTTTTGGCTTCCAGAACTGTGGTGGAATAAAGTTCTACTGCTGCTA